GAGGGTCCTTTTTACCATCTGCCTCAGTTTGTAATAAACCTATCTGTTGTCCTGCTTATTAGTAATATTAATACGCTGTTTAAACGGTTTTTCTAGAGTCAGTGGCACGTTAACTCGAAATTTGCTATTAGCAATCGATTACTTGTTGTATAATTTCTCATTTCGCTCTATACTTCACCTCCTGTGAAGATTATTCATCATTTTACTCTATTATCTATGATTTATGCCATATCTATATCGTCATCATGAACTAGATTTTTTGTCTTCCTTATTATGGTAATCAGGTTGACCTTTTAGTCGAGTTTGTTACAACTCTGACTGTTTTGTTACCGGACTGTTTGTTTTTATTAATCACATTTTTTAGAATAAGGTTATTTGAATTAATCCAAGGGGTTTTATCCACTTTGGATCCTTGATTTGTATAATGTAATTAATCAGGAATTTATAAGCTCTTTCGAGTTTATATCCAGTATCTCCCTGTAAAGTGGCAATAGATAGACTATTTTCACTTTATTTCGGATAATAATAATAGACTTTCGTCTTTATGTATTTTCTCAGATATGAGATTTTATCCTTAATATCTTGTTACTTCTAGATAATTTCCTCGTTTTTAAGTAACAAGAATATTTTGTTAATTCTTCTTCAAGTACTTTCTTGTATCTTGAATAGTAATTTAACGTTACTGTTTCCAGTAAATTTGGGTATCAAATCTTCTTTGAATGAAGTCCTGGCGGGGAAGCCATGTAAAGAAATATGTTGTGTTTTTTCTACCGAATCGTTCATAGTAATAGATTCTTTATTTATTTCCAAGGACATTCCTAATAAGTTGATATTGATCCGGTGTATTAAAGTATAAAATATACACCTGGGAATATAGTACATATGATAAGTGTCAATTAAGATCTCATCATTTCTTATATACATTGTTGGAAAAGTTTTCAGCGTCAGTAATACTTTCGTGTAAAGTAACATTTCTTTTTCCTATATGAATAATGTCGTAATACGTTTAGATCACGTGTTACATCATAATTCTGACAATTGTAATAATAATTAAGTCTGTCCCCTTTAGTTTGGGAACTTGTTTATGTAGCTATGATAATTATCTAGTTCTTTATATACTTTCTTGTTTGTGACAGTGTCGCAAATCCTTTGTTTACTGATTACTCCACTTCTTCGTATTATGTTATAATCCGAAATCAATACATTGTTTTGTATTAATTGTATTATTTCAAGGTTACATCGTACGAACCTTGATAATGTCGAGATGTAATTCGTTACAACAAATGGTGTCATATTATCAATATTGCGATTTAAAAAGATCATTGTACATTATTGTACATTATTGTATATTATTGTATATTATTGTATATTATTGTATATTATTGTATATTATTGTATATTATTTAGTATCGTACTTTGTACATAAAAGAATATAGAACTTTATTATTATTAACAAGTATATTTACTTTAACTTACAGATCTCAACCCTTAAGATCCTATAGAATAAACGCCTACCAGCCTACATTCTAACGTATACCAATTCAAACATACAATTAAATAATAATTACAGGCCAAATAATACAAAAATATATTTTTTGTAAATCGAAAAATCCAATTAAAAATCTTTCTATGCAAAATCAAGGAATTAAACAAGAGGAAGAAGATTCCCAAATTAATATCCTTAAGAAAGGTTTGGAAAACACTTCTACCCAATTTTCAGCAGTCAAAAAGGAAGAAGCTGCAATTGAGGGTAGAATTCTTGCTGACGAGAGAAAGCAAGAAGCCTTAATGTCTGAAGTTGGCAAAATCGAGAAATATCTCGACTCCGAACAGGATGTTTTGACTAATCTTATCAATGATAAGATTGAAGCTAAATTTGCAGATTTTAATGCTGTTAGAGTTTCTCCATCTGGAACTAATCTCTCTTCTAAAGAAGAAACTTTGATGAAGGTCAATCGGTATTTTCCGGAGATCATTATCAACCCAAGTTCACCTTTACTGAATGATTGTAATAAACCCAATGGTGAAGTGAGTTTAGTTGTTTCAAATGAACTCCATTTGAACAGCAGTTACTGTCGTGAACCCGCAAAAATTTTATACCTGATACTTCTGAACGTTTACGTCCCTTTTATGATGTACTCGATAAAAGCTTGACTCCTACTTTACCACCTCCACAAAATTTAATACCGAATCTCACTCCATCTTTAATCTTTTAAACAATTGATTACTCGGTCGCTCACTTTAAAGTTATTTGATCCACAAGCTCTTACTATAATCTTTTCAGATGCTAGTTTAAAAGGCGGTGCTTCTATAATTTTACAACCTGAGGTTCATAATAACAAAACTCTTTTATTTCCTATCTCCTTTTTGTCTGTTCGATTCAATCCTACCCAACAAAGGTATTCTACTGTTGAACGTGAGCTTTTCTCTGTTCTACCTGCCTTGAATAAAGGTGAGTTACTTCTTTCACCGGATGTGACTGTATATACCGACAATAAGGGTATTATTAGTATTGGTAATTCCGATCGTAATACTCATCCTCGGTTCACTAAATATTTGGATCTTGTGAATGGACATCGTGTCAAATGGAAATATCTCCCTGGAGCCAAGAACCTCCTCGCAGACTATTTAAGCCGTTTCGGTTTGGATGACCAACCCTATTTGGATCTCGAACAGTTACAACAATTCACTGTCGATATTCCGCTATCCCATCTCACATTATTGAGTGCAGACTCAGATGTGGCGCCCTCTTCTACCACCAATCCAGAGCCTTCAACGGAGGCACCGAATTCTGACAATCCCACCGACCCTGACTACGTTATACAAAATGTCAACTCGTTGACATTACCACAACTACTGGAAATCCAACAGCTACTTGCTGATAAGATTTCTTCTGCACCACCGATATTTTCAAAGATCATTGATCGTTTTTATTATACCTCTGGTAACCTTTACATCAATATGGATTCAATCCTGTTTCGCGTTGTCATAGATAAAGATTATATGGATGTTGCTACTAAGCTACATGCCCTATATCACTGTACGCACCGAGTGCTACAACTTGCTATGGCTGATGAGAAATTATGGAATCCCAATTCTAATCTGCTTCTTCTTGTTTAATTCCTTGATTTTGCATAGAAAGATTTTTAATTGGATTTTTCGATTTACAAAAATATATTTTTGTATTATTTGGCCTGTAATTATTATTTAGTTGTATATTGAATTTGGTATACGTTAGAATGAAGGCTGGTAGGCGTTTATTCTATAGGATCTTAAGGGTTGAGATCTGTAAGTTAAAGTAAATATACTTGTTAATAATAATAAAGTTCTATATTCTTTTATGTACAAAGTAAGTAAATAATATACAATAATATACAATAATATACAATAATGTACAATGATCTCTTTAAATATCAATGTTAATAGCATGTAACAACATTCTTGTAGTGACACATATTTCTTCACCTTCAAGGTTCGTATGAAGTAACCTCGAGGTAGTTGTATTGTTTCAATATAGCTTCATACGAATTAGTAAAGATCTATGACACCAGATAATACGTGTTATTATCCTTGACACTTATAAAGACTAATAGTAGCTACTATTTGAAACAACTGTATATAATTGTGTCAAAAATTATGAGATGACGTAAAGTCATACTCATTAATTCAATATTAATAAGGGTGAAGAATTATATGAAACATCATTATTAATAAGGTATAAAGAAATGTTTATAATACGAAAGTATTTGCTTCTGACGTGTCAATAATATCTAAACATTGTATATAAAGTCTGATAAGATCTTAATTGACACTTATCATATGTACTATATTCCCATGTTGTTCAGATGTAAAAGTAATATCTGATTGATTCATTTTGGTGGTTGATACAAGATGTTTTTAATATAATATTTGTATTTATTTCTCCGTAGTGTCTTATAAATGTAACTAAATAAATATATATTAATATTTGGAATAAACAATATTCTAGATGTGCCAAAATGTCATGCCTTTTTATATGTTTAGATCCAATCTCATAATCTTAATATTATGAATTTATGATAATAAATCATGATGCCTTTGCACTTCACTTCTTATGATATGATTTGGCAATTACTTAGAAGGTCGAGTACGCCATTGGCGATCGATCAATTGCAATTTGCCATAACCTTTACTGCCATAACCTTTACTGCCATAACCTTTAGTGCCATAACCTTGAAACCCATTAGTGTAAGCCATACATTTTAGGTTACAACACATGTGTATATTTTATACTTTAATACACCGGATCAATATCAACTTATTAAGAATGTCCTTGGAAACAACTAAACAATCTACTATTATTAACGATTCTGTAAAGAATCCACAACCCTCTGATTCTCTACAAATTGCATATTACTTACTTAATTCGTACATTAGAAAGAGGATATAGAACTCTGTAATAGTAAATATACTTATTAACAGTACTAGACTGCCACGAAATAGACGAATATAATAAACGCCATACTAGAATTTATTCAACATACAATTACTAGATATATAAAAATTAATAATTCACAACAAAGAATACAAAAATATTTCTTTGATTTACTACAATTATCTATCAGAATGGTAAGAGCTTCAAGCTTTAATGAAAGTAGGTATATGTTAAATAGGCATCTGAACCTATTACCTAGGTCAGTGAGTGGTAACTCCCTCTTCGTCCTGTGGCAGAGTAGTCTATGTAACATAAATAGTTTTATATTTTGGAACTGAAACTATGTTCCTCTTATATACGAAGAGATTACTTCGATGATCAACTTCGCTATTGACGATTGATCAAAACCATTGGCAGACCATTTCCCAATATTTTAGGAATCTTGGTTATCTTTAGTTGAACGGTGTCAGGACAACAAATCTTGTCGGCTCGTTGATTACCAATATTCTGAATGTGATAATTTGTCTTCCATTCACAATGAATTACAAAGATGGCTTCTTAGTAGATATTACTATTGGTAGGAATGACTTGAGTCATTTTAAGAAGATCCAAAATATAAAATAAATCGAATTTCTTCGTTCATTATTTAGATTCAAACAATGTTTTTTTAATATTTGGTGCTTCAAATAAAAAATTCCACTCCAAAACTTAAGAATTATGTCATTTAACTTTTTTTAAACAAGTAAAATTCTCACTCATTTGTTGATCTATTGTAATGCACTATATTCGTCAAGTAGAAAGCTATGCTCAGATGTGAAAGTAATATCTGATTGATTCATTTTGGTGATTTTATACAAGATGATTTTGAAGTAATAGTAGTATGTATTTCTCCGTGAGGTCTTGTGAATGGATTAAATAAAAACCTATTAATATTTTGGACAAAGGATATTTGGAATGTCCAAATATCATGCCCATTTATATGTTTAGAAACAATTCCATAATCTAAATATCACTAATTCAGTAGATTGCACCTTGATATATCACGTGATAAAATATCCTGCAAACCTAACAGCATATTCACTATGCTGTTAGGTCGTAACAAAGAGAAACTAGACATATTACCCGGACCCACCAGAGCATCTCAATTATCCCAGAACTCCTTACGGCATTTGCTGTTGCCTAGTAACCTCAGCTAACAGCGCGCTTACAACAAATATCGAAAATGGTTGCAAACTCATCACAAACAGAAGTTTATATAAAGAGGCCAATTAACCTAAGGTTCAGATATGATCAAATGTATACAATTGTAGAGTTTAGATACACAGATATATATAGAGGTAAGCGTGAGAGTACTCGATTAAGTAAGGATTACTTCAGGGATTGTATACTTGTTAACTATATAACATCTCGTAGTGCGATACAAGTGTACATTGGTGAATAATACAAACTTAGACTAACAAAAAAATGGTTAAAACACACATCACCGTAATAGCGACAATACTAGTTGCATTGCTAGCCTGGGTTGAATCTCCTGATTACGATAAATCAGTGATGCACGCAGCAATCTGGGCTGCCATCCTGATGGCGAACACCTTGCCGTATTTTAGTTATTTTGCAATATGGGGGGCTTTTGTTCATCATGCTCTGCAGACCATTTTGTACGTGCGGTATGTATACCGCAAGTGCGCAATGGATAGCGTGTGTCTGACCTCAGACTGTAAAAGAAGTATAGAAGTGTTGACTTTTTCTTCACTACTTACACTACTATCATTGAGTTACAGTCTCGATGTTGTACTCTACGGGAGGGGTCATGAAGATAACGGCTATATCGTGAAGGAGACTAAGCCAGGTAAAATAGACTATCATGCGCTATTCAACAAATCAATCTTAGCAATGACAGTTATAATGAAGTTACTATTCCTGAAATGGGCGAACAACTAATTAATTGCGACCAAGATGTACTAGCCTCAGCATTAGTATACAATCAGACACCAGACACACACCACCATTATAAGACGTATAGTGACGGAGTTTCGCCAAATGGGGTCATTGCTGTGGCCCCGGACAGGTTGCGTCAGAATGTTAGCTATAGTAACTCTGTTAGCATGGCCAATGATAAACAATTCCAGTCGTATAGTTATGACTGGTACCTATGTGGCCAGTATCATGTTATCGAACATTGTGTCAATAATAGTGGGGGGAGGACTAATCAGAATGATTTAGTATTTCAGACTATTTTCAATGCTTCCCACCTTATTGCCTGGGATGTATCATTTCGAGGTTACTTCGTATGAACCTTGATGGTGATGAGACATGTGTTGTTACAACAACATTGTTTCATATTATCAACATTGCTATTAAAAGAGATAATTGTATAATATTGTATATTATTTAGTACCTTAACTTGTACATAAAAAGATCAATCGACAACATTAATAATTACTAGTATTGTTGTAACCTAAAATGTATGGTTTACACCAATGGGTTTCAAGGTTATTCATATCACGTGATAAATGATATTTATTGCGCTAATAACATTAATTCAATTATTATAGTCATAAGCTAAGAGATAAAGGTTACATACCTATATCAGTCTAGAACAATATCATGATCCGATAAATTATATGTATTGATCGAATCATATTAAAGAACAATGATCACTAATGATATCATGAAATGGTCTGTCATTCGCATGACAGTAAAGGTTATGATATATTGCAATTGATCGATCGCCAATGGCGTACTCGACCTTCTAAGTAATTGCCAAATCATATCATAAGAAGTGAAGTGCAAAGGCATCATGATTTATTATCATAAATTCATAATATTAAGATTATGAGATTGGATCTAAACATATAAAAAGGCATGACATTTTGGCACATCTAGAATATTGTTTATTCCAAATATTAATATATATTTATTTAGTTACATTTATAAGACACTACTACGGAGAAATAAATACAAATATTATATTAAAAACATCTTGTATCAACCACCAAAATGAATCAATCAGATATTACTTTTACATCTGAACAACATGGGAATATAGTACATATGATAAGTGTCAATTAAGATCTTATCAGACTTTATATACAATGTTTAGATATTATTGACACGTCAGAAGCAAATACTTTCGTATTATAAACATTTCTTTATACCTTATTAATAATGATGTTTCATATAATTCTTCACCCTTATTAATATTGAATTAATGAGTATGACTTTACGTCATCTCATAATTTTTGACACAATTATATACAGTTGTTTCAAATAGTAGCTACTATTAGTCTTTATAAGTGTCAAGGATAATAACACGTATTATCTGGTGTCACAGATTGTACAACTAGTTCGCATGAAACCATGCCAAAACAATACATCAATTTTTGATCATGTGATTCATAATTTGCTATCTCTACGCTATAAGTTATATATTCCTTCAAAAAACAAACAGATAATAACCACTCTCGGTAGCCAAGTTGGTTTAAGGCGCAAGACTGTAATGTTTCAAACAAAGTTATCTTGAGATCGGGCGTTCGACTCGCCCCCGGGAGATATTATTTTTTGCTGATTTACTTTTTTGCCAGAAGATAACCATTTCACAAATATAACTTGAAAAAATATACTCATAGTAAGATTCAATACTGTTATCATAATCATCCAAACTCTGCTTGCTATTTTCTTATTTAGTTGAAAATGTAGTTATAGTATTCTATTTTGACGTTAAACGAACCTATATATGCTATTTAAACTAACGAAAGCTTAAATAAGGGAGAAATTATTGTACATTCATTAGCAGTATCGCACCAGCGATTATTTTGTTACAAAATGTTGCTTAGTTTTTTTTTTTATTATAATTTATTATTGATCAATATCCATTGTATCATTCTTGAAATTTGTGTTTGATTGTGCACCTATACCATTATTAAATTGCTGATCCATCTCATACTCTTCTGGAGTTATATCATAAAGATTGTATTGTAAATGTTCTACTGAATTCAGAAGTAAATTCCCATCCGTTGATAATATTCCATATTCCATATAACCATTTTTCATATAGTCTTCGACCTCTGAATACAGGGATAAATTATCATCTATCGAGTCAACTGTCAGCATTTCATTACTAATTGGTGTTGCTCTACCTGGTGTTGGCGCTGGTGTTAATTTCCTTATATTATTATAGTCAAATCCATGAGTAGCATTCGATGTTTCTATTGGTTTTAAGGCAGAAACCAACTCTTGAGAGCTGAATCCAGACACATTGTTATTATCATATCTTATTTTTTTAAATGATGAAGTAGTCATTCTTGGATCAATTTGATCGTAGTCATCGTCTGAACAGAGATGCGATCCATCGCGTTTCAGAAGATTGTTGTTTACATTAGCATAAACTGTTTGACCAAAGTTTTCCATCTTCTGACTCTCTATATCTTCAATAGGTTCCTCGTAATTCTCCGAATAATATATGCAAATTCGAAAGATATTACCTAATGCTTAGCTATTTATTTTCTTTGAAATTGAAATAATGATTAAATAAAGAATTCTTTAAAAAAAACACTCAGGCAATTGATTTCAAAAATTCTCGCTTTCAATTACACTTTTCTCTCCAGTGAACACAATTCTCCAAATAAGATAGTCCAATTCAATAGTAGCTAGTCTCCTTGTCGACCAATTCTATCTAATAATGATTCATTTTATAATAATCATTAGCTATGATGGTTTTAAGCAGAATTCATTAAAACTTCGTTTTTAAGCAAAATTTCACTTTTCTTGTTTCTATCACATGACCTCACGTATGTCGTGATGTCGGTTAAAAACCAAATTGAGAATTTTGGTTAATGACGGAGTATATAAGAGAAGTGATCTTATACAACTTAAAGGTATATCCTAAGGAGTTCATACAAACACTTTAGATGATTGGTGAAGCAATGATTCAACTCATGGGTGAGAGAATATATATGTATGTTGGCTCAATCATATTCAGAAACTGTTGAAGGGTTATTTGGTACAACATTCATAAAACTGAAAAACACTTAAAAAGAAAAAGATGGCATCTGTAGACTATAATGGTTTGGACACAGTTTTCTAAAAGTAATAGGTAAGGAAGAAGCCGCTGATCTGATTATTCATGTTCGATAAACAGACAAAATTTGCGACTTTCAACTAGAAATCTACAAGATAAAATATATTTGTCAATATCAATATACTTCAAATTGGAAAAGTCTGTTTTAGCTTGTTGAGCAATCATCAATCAATTGCTCAGAACCCATTAGATTTAATTCTTTTTATAATCTAATTATTTCCTTTCAAATTTAAACAAAACTACCTGAATTGTGGTTATTTGTTCCCTGTATCGTTAAGAATACAAATTATATTAATGCCAAAGCTATATATGATTAACTCTATTAAATGTTACTCAAGATGGTAAATATAAAATTGAAATTGAGATAGATTCCTAACTTGTTTGCAAGTTACAACTCCTGGGTTGCCTTTATAAAAATGAGAAACAAAGAAAATTGTGTGCCAAAGAAGTGAAGTGTGCCAAGGATGCCCCGCTGGTTGCACAACACCTCTAATATTGTTTAAATGGAAAATACAAGATAAAAATTTTAAAAAATAAGACCGTTATATAATAAAATCAAACACTGTATATCCGACTTCAAAATGGTAGAATCAAAATGGTAGAATTCTCTAATTTAAGAAATCACAGCATTATCACAAAATTGAATTTTTCATAACATTGAGAAATATAGCGATCAATAAAAAGGTTCGATGCATATAATCGATTTCAATGATACGATTTGTGGTTTTTGTCTACACTAACAACCCTCCTCCTCCTCCCCCCACATATATTTATTTCATTGTTCTATCAAAATATTGTAGATGAAGAGACTACTAATATGGACTTCGCTCACATTCAAAAAACCAAGATATCTTCTTCCTTCATTTTTAAACAACATACAGTTTCTTAATCCTCCATCGGCTAGCTGTTTACCTATTTTTACCATTTTTCGAAATTGTCTTTATTATTTAATATCATTTCATCTTCTTTCGGAAATTTGTTCACCGAAACATAATTTAGTGATTAATCCATCATTGGAAAACTGAAAAATAATAATACTATTAAAGAGTTCATTACTTTAATTGTTCAATTTACCAGATATGATACTTTATCTGACTCCAAAGTCAAAGCTCCTTGATCGACGTCGTCGATATTTCTGTGGTTGTATGGTTCTGACTTTGTTATTGTTGAAATTTTGATATTACAGTCAAATTGAACTCGATCAGCACTTAAATTATTATCTCATCAGAAACCGTAAAATAAAAAAGTAATCTATCAAAATACACCTCAAAGTTTAGATATTACTTTCTTCTTTGGACCAAATATATATATATATATCATTTCATGAACTATAATCAACGCTCAGCTGTTTCAACTGTGCCCAATGCTTCCCCCATAAAGGTTGGATTCATAGGACTAGCTGTTAATAAAGGTTGGGCTTATAAAGCACACTATCCTTCAATATTACAATTGTCTTCACAATATGAAATTACAGCATTGTATAACAATAATGTTGAATCATCTTTAGAGACCATTCAGCAATTAAAATTATCAAAAGCTACTGCATATCCAACGCTAGAGTCATTTTCTTCATCCGTTAATATTAATATGATTGTTGTAAGTATTCAAACTAGTAACCACTATGATGTAATCATACCACTACTGGAATATTCGCGGAATAATCCAAATCTAAAATATTTATTTGTTGAATGGGCTCTAGCATGTTCAATTCAACAGGTTGAAACGATCTATAGAGCGGCAACAGAGAGGGGGCTACAAACAATAATATCATTGCAAGGTAGAAAATCTCCTTATATATTACGTGCTAAGGAATTAATAACGCAAGGTTATATTGGTGACATAAATTCAATTGAAATAGCGGCAAATGGTGGTTGGTATGGTTATGAGAGATTAGCAAAGTCCCCTTCTTTTATTTATCAGCTGGGAAACGGTGTAGACTTAGTGACAACAACATTTGCTCACACAATTGATATATTACAGTACATTACAAGTTCGTACTTTTCCAGAATCAATTCTATGATATTTAATAATATTCCTGAACAAGAAGTGTTAGGAGAACATGGTAAAAGGACAGGAAAAAAAGTTAAAAAAACTGTTCCCGATCATTTACTATTTCAAGGATCATTGGTGAAAGGTAATGTTCCAGTATCATGTAGTTTTAAAGGTGGTAAACCTACTAAAAAATTTACAAAAAATCTAGTTATTGATATACATGGTACGAAAGGTGATATAAAATTGGAAGGTGACGCGGGTTTTGCAGAAATATCAAACCTGGTATTATATTATAGCGGTATTAAGGATGATGAGCCTCAATCACAAAATGGAGTGGCAATGTTCGATTCAAGTAAAGAATTAATAGAAGTGTATCATTTAAGAAATTATAATGCTGTTCTAGGAAATATATATAGACTTTATCAGTCTATTGCTGATTTCCACTTCAATACAAAAAATATCCACAATCTTTCACCAAAATTTATCATGCAGGGTTTCGAATTTGAAGGATTTCCAACTTTCATGGACGCCTTGATTTTGCATAGACTTATCGACAGTGTTAACAAAAGCAGTGCATTAGGTTCAACAATTGATGTGACCAACATTTGTCAGTATCCGTAAATAATGAATTTATGTATTATATAGCCCATTATTGATGACTTATTTTTTCCAAAGCAATTTGGCAAAACTCTTCTACTGCTTCATTGTGATGAATACCACCATATAGTAGTGTATTTAAATAATCAAGTGCTAATTGCTTCCTGGAATCAGAATTAAGATTAGAATTATTTTCATTTGAATCCACAACATTGGTAGAGAGTATTTTGTATACTTTGTGTAGATGGAACTTAACAGTGTTATATTTCAGCAGTTCTCTTAATTCTGGCGTTTCCTTGTAAATAGCGTTCAATTCCGGTGTTCTCAAGACATTGTCCCCAGAATCATCATTTAAACAATCTTTATTCACAGACTCTATAGCAACTTTAGTCTGTTCGACCACTGTTTCTTCTGTATGTTTATGTTTATCCTCATTCTTATAACATGTTAATGAACAATATCTGATACCACATTTAGGGCACTTATACTTCGATATTTCAATTTCACAAATTGCACACTTTTCCATCTATAAATTTGTTAGAAAGTAGAGGGGAAAACCTTACAGAGTTAAATATTCCTGCAGTTAAATACAATGAGCGTTGATATATCAACTTTTTTACTATTAACATACCATTTAACAGTTTTGTTAAACAGGTTTAATTTCTTACTACTTTAGGTTTAAAAAAAATTTATGCGATGAGCTTAAAGGATTTCTTTTGATATCAAATTTCGCTAGGAATTCAAAAATAAAAGATAGATAGATAGAGAGGCACGTAATAGTCAGAAGTGAACTCTAATTACAATAAAAAACATTAAAAATTATTTTGATTTTGTGATTTAAAGTTGATTAAAATCTATTAATTGTTTATATTCTAGGTAAACAAAATTTAAATGCATTAATTATAGTATTACATATAAGAAGTCCTCATTTCATTAATCTGTCTGATTATATCTTCTGGTTTAGTGTCCTTGAGATTTTTGCAAATTTCGAGTCTTTCATTTGAATTGAGATATAGAAATCTTTCACATAGATCACCATCTATGATATTTTTCACTGGTGCATAATAACTTCTGTATTTTGAATGATTTCTATTAACAATCGAATACGCACCTTCTGGAGTTGTTGTGTTGTTGGTATTTATAATAGTTTCGTTTTCTTCTCTTGCTTTTCCCTTGTCTTCAATATAATTTTTCTTGTCATTGCCAATATCTTCCTGTATTGAATAGAATGTATAATCAATATTGGACATCTCATTTTTTATCGCATTCAGAGTAGTGACTTGGGCTTTGGTTAGTAATGGAACCAAACATCCGATAGTACCTTGAAGACATGTATAAAATATTACCGGACGGTCTGATATATGAGCAGATTCTACAATATGAATATCAGTAACGATATCGTTTAAGTAAAAATGATTCGTGAGCTTTAGTTTAAAAGGACATTCCATTACATTTGGTAATTTTGATATCATTGAACTATTTTCACTAGCAATTAACATTGGGTTTTCTACATTATCAAGCACCTTTTGATCATCTTCTAAATCAATTCTAAGAGTCCAGATGTTGCTATATTTATCTGAACCAATAACAGTTCTTGAATCAAGAAATTCAATTGATATTACATCTCTCTTAGTAATATCATCTGCAATTGGCTTCAAGGTTTTAGAATCCGAGTTATAGTCAAAAATCATCACTGATTCATGGATATCACCGACTGCAATTCGTTCATCATTCCAAGAACTTAAAGCTGTAACTTTAGTTAGTGATGGCGGTGTCATACATTTGCCAGATCTCAGTAACCTTTTCTTACCTATACTGTATAGTATGAGATTCCCAAAAATAGGGACCAGAATCAGATCCTTTAAAATTAACATCGCGCAAACTTGATCGTCTACCAATGTCTTATGCAATAAATCCAAAGAATATGAAGCAGTCGATGACTTCCTACTATCAGAAAATAGTAGACTGAAAGTGTAAATTGTACCGTTTTTAGCTGAAATTATTAATTTAGGATCATGTCGAGAATCTTCATAGCATACAGCAGAAAGACAGCATATTTCATTAAGTACCTCAATATTCTGCTTTGTTGTATCATTTTGTAAGACCTTATCATTTTTTACCAATGAAATAGAACATCCATTTAAGGCTGTTAGGTTACTAATAGTAACAATAGTTTCATTATTCATTGCTAATTTCAAAATCTTTCTATTTATCAAGGATCTTTCACCGAGCTTCCTAATTTCTTCCTCTTCCTCTTCTTCCTCTTCTTCTCCCTCTTCTTCACCATCTTCTTCTCTATCCTCCAATTTCCCACCGTTATGATCATCATTATGCTTATCAACACGGTCATTTAACCCTTCATTTTTCTGTGATAGATCTGATGCCTCTATATTACGTTGAGGATCGTTTGAAATATTACTAGCACTTGTTAACACTTGTTCATCTAGATTGAACCACTTTTCTTCATTACAAAAATCGAGAACCTTACCTATGATAAGAGATCCCTTGGAGTTAATAGCGCAACAGCCATTGAACTTCATATTTTCAGTTCTAAATTCAGTGACAAGCGACAGGGACAAAGAATTTTCCAAAAGCAGTGGTTTGATATAAAACAATGATTTATATTCATAAGAAACCCAAGTTCTTGTACTTTTTATTAGAACTAATGGAGTTCTTTTATTTTCCCTTATCACAGCCCCAACATTTTCCTCTTCATCACTTTCTTCTTCACCATCATCATTATCCGCTTCGGTAGATTTCATGGTCAAATCTGTATTCGAGATAATGTAAAATAAAACTGGCTCAGGACCCATGTATTTTGTTCGAATATCGTATATTTGGCCATCTGTCACACTCAACTTCGAACGTAAATAAACACCATCCTTTAAACCAACATGCAGTTCCATATCTAAGCCTTGAATTATACGGATGTCTGAAACAGAAGACATCACTGCTTGAATTGAGACGACTTCAAAAAAAGTTTCAGTATCATTTAATGATAATGATAGGATTTTCACCAATGAATTTTTTAACCCAACTGCTAAGTACTCACTTCTGTTTGTATTTGATAAACTAATACTGGTTATTAGATCTCCCATATCAGCTCTTGATTGTAATTCATTTAATGAATCATTCTGCGAATCTACTTCTATTTCAAAATAAACAATTTCACAATTTGATAATGCTAGTACAAGTTGAGACTTTGTACTTGACGCACATACAATTCGAATACCTGCAGGTGGATACCAATCTAATTTGGAAACATAAGTCTGCTGATCTTTATCATAAACAATTTGCCTTACTTCATTTTCACAAACTTGTATAATAGATCTTTCTCCAATTGCACCAACAAATATAGTAAGATCCTTGTTCAAGTTAAAAGGGTTTTTGTCAATTCGCAACTCTTCAATAGAATCATCGTCTACTTCTAAAATTGTCAGTGATTTTTGAAACCCTAGAAATAACAATTTGTGATAAACATTACAATTTAATCTTATGGACCATAGTTTACCAGGAGATGATGGTAAATTTGTTGAAATCATGGTATTGAAATTGACACCACTTTTATATAGCTTGAGATTGTTTTCTGATCGAACCATTATTGTTAAAGGGCAATCATTAGTGATACAACTTGAAATAATTGGGTTGGCATTTTTTTGAGTTGATTCGATCCTTAAATTTTCGAGAGTCTCTGATCTCTCAAATTGCTTTGAAACTTCAGAACTTTTTGATGTAGAAAGAGTTTCACCTTCACCTAAGCTCTCAAATTGAAATAAATAATTATCACCAAATTCAGAATTTGAAAATAGATAACCATTTTTAAGTATATGCATTTTTTCAGCTTGGTAAATTGTATCAAAATACGATATTGACGCAACTGGTCTGTTTCTATCATTTTCGTCAGGAATTATTGTCAGCTTGAATAGATCTCCATAATTAGATTGCAACAAGATAAAAAACTCCTTCTTCAAAGTTTGAATTGAATGTGCAATAATTTTTGTGGAAAATTGTCCTCCAGATTTTGGAATTTGTACTTTTAGACTATAATTACCTCTTAAATCTTTTATCAAAATGAACCCTTCATACCCTAATAAGACGAATGGATTAATATCATCATCTAAGTCTCCTATTCCGCTATGCTGATCATTGATTTTGGTTCTTATATTATATTTAGATAATTCAGGTAGACTCATTATATAATTGGCACCTTTCCTTATTTTGTAATCCGATTTCTTAATGATATGATTCAAACCTAGGTCGAGAACATAAAACACCAAATGAAAATCGTTGTTTCTCGAAGTATCAATTTCTATTGTTGCAAAACAAGGGTTATCATAACGGACATCACAAGACGTACCGCCCATCATAATCATACCAGATCTATTGATTTCTAATGGAGATGAAATCTTAATTTTATTATCTTCGTAATCTAGCAAAAAACACAATTTTGAACGTTCCATTGCAGAAACCATTAGACATCTACCATATGGCTCTATATTCAAATAAGATATAGGAGATAATCTACGAAGACCGGTTCTAGATAACGGCTCATTAAGGTCAGTTTTCAACTTAATAATACCTGATTCTCTAATAAATCGTGCTATAGTAAGTACACCTGAATCTGAAGTAATTGCTAAAAATGAATAAGGAGCCTTTGGAATAACAAAGGAATCCATTGCAGTTATCGTTGCGAATATTGGGATAGTAATACATAAATTTAATGTACCTTCGCTTACATCGTATAATTCAATATGGGTTTCAGTAGCAATGCATAATTGCAATTCCTTAACTTTTTTCTTCTTTACATCTTGCATTAATTTAAGTTCCTTCGATGAATCAATATCACTATTAATGTCTATAAAGTTACCAATACACGAATGAACATAATTCGACTGTTTCTGTAGAGTTAGATTGTATAAAAAAATATTGTCATCATTGAGAGCTTTCATCGTAAATTTACTATATCCATAAGTGCAGTAAATGATCTCCCCAACGAATAGCTCTTATAGTTACTTAGTCCAGCCTGTTTAATCGAAATTAGATCCATGAATACAAATTATTCTTCATCTAATTTATATTCATCTCTTAAATTTGATATCAAATATTAATTTATTTACCTTATAGATGTCATTACCCGGCTATAAAACATTTGTCCGCTGAGAAACAACGCACAACTGGAAAAGCAGATTGAAATATAGAATGACAGCAGTGAAGACGCAATATGAAAGAGACTAAACCTGATGTTTTATTATGTTTATATCAAAAGAATACAAAATGTGGTTCTAATCTTATTATGCAATTGTTATTATACAAAACCAAAAAATAAGCATTTTCATTCAAATAAACTTTAAATGAAAAAAAAATCCAGAACGTTCCGTACGGGACTCGAACCCGCAGTCTTCTCCTTAGGAGGGAGACGCGTTACCATTACGCCAACGGAACATGAAAATTTAATTGGTAGGGAATTACATATATTTAGATTCCAGATGAGACTAAGCAAAAAAGTTCTTTTAAAGGTACCTCAATTACGTAACGAATATTTCCAATAACACAGAAATTAAACTGGGATCACATCAACAAGGTTATTTTGGAAGTCATATTCGGTCTAAGAATTAACTAGAGATCCATATGAGTACACGTGGTATGTAAGTTGCTACAGACCATATTCAGTATTAGTAATTATGGCGGCTCGGCAATTACTAATGGTCCAGATGACATGAATCCTCTTTATCTAAATATTTGATATATAATTAGATGCCAAATATTCACATTTGCAATTTAGAATTATCGAGTAATTTATTTAAGAAATGTCATTGCCTGCGAAGAACGAGGAGAAAAACTTTCAGATATCAATATCATATAATTAATACGAAGTCTTGGAAGTTGTATTAGCAATTCATATAAACTAAACCAATTATACTTATACAAATCATTATATAATCTTTTAAACCTAAAATATGTTGAAGTGAGATGAGTATGGATTAGAATCCAAAAGGGCATTTTAATACAATAAAAAATTATCATTTCCATTTCAGATAAAGCAAAGTTCTTTAAAGAAAAACATTCAAAAATTAAATGCATTATTTTACGTATTATATCGAATTCAATTGTAAGACTGAATTTAAAAGAAATTCGTTATTCGTGGGATATCTGGAGCAGATCCTTTCTGTTGTAACCTAAATGTATGAATTCCATATATAGGTTTACAGATTATTCATATCACGTGATAAATGACATTTGTTGCCCTAATGACATAAATGCAAATATTAACAATATGACCTAAGAGATAGATTATAGATCTGTATGGTTCTAGAACATTCTTATGAGCTGAAAGATTATATTTATAACCCTAATCATTTTAATGAACAATGATTACTAATGATATGAAGAAATAGTCTGTCAATATTATTGACAGCAATTATTATGATAGATTCCAATAGCTCGATAATGATGATCATGTCATAGGAAGTGGAGTTCAAAGGCATCACTATTTTTATTATAATTGATTAATAATTCTGAGATTATGAGATTGGATCTAAACCTATAAAAAGGCATGACATTTTGGTACATCTAAAATATTGTTTATCTAAAATATTAATATATATTTATTTAGTTACATTTATAAGACACTACGGAGAAATAAATATAAATATTATATTAAAAACATCTTGTATCAATCACCAAAATGAATCAATCAGATGTTACTTTTACATCTGAACACTTTCGATCACACTTACCTCATTTGTATAGAGATCTTAGTCACCTCACGATTTAAATTATACCATACTTGGGACTAGAAGTCTATATGTTTCTATGGAACCCTTTTTATCAATTGTTATGAAAATCCGCAATAAGAGTTATCTATATATATATATATATATAGTTCGAAATCATTAAGTTTATGAAACTTTGTTTATTAGGTATAAAAATACTTCATTAATCTGCAGGGGAAAAGAGTGACCAGCAAGATTCAATAAAATCCATAATATATTCAACTATATGTATAGTAAATTATAAGGCAAATGAGATATGCGATTTGAAATTATTTATATTCAATTTCTCCATATTTAAACATATTCTGTTATAATAAGGAACCAACGAGAACTAAAATAAATGTCAGAATGTCCTCTGTCTAAGTTTATATCTATTATTTATTAAAAAAAAACTTATAGTACATGATATATACAATCCTTATAAAAGCGTCACAATTAACAACTGCATGTTAAAAGCTTGTATAAATGTTTAAGGAGTGTTCAGTTTTTAAACATCGAATATAGGAAAAGATACCTCAGTAATAAGCTACATGCGGAATCAATTTAAATGTGAATATATGTGTATTGATGCTATATCATTTCTATATTTAAAAATATATTATGTTAACTAATGTTGTAATGCAAAAATAAGAAATTAATGTATTTTATTGGTGATAAGAAAGGTCATCGTTTTCCATTTCACTTTCAAGGAGATTTGTTTTACTGTCATTTAATAAACTGCCTTGAGACTCACCAAAATATGCACGCGATGGAGTATAGATATTATATGCATGATGTGCTTTAACGACTTTATCCAGAAAATTAATGGATGATGTGCTATAATCATCATTCGAATGAACTAGATTATTACTGAGCACATCTGTTTTAATAGGCGGTGGGGATGGTCTTCGCGGTAATTTCTGATTAGAGGCAAATTCCTTGTCATATATTCTTGATGCAAATCCGATTTTGGCAAGATCTAATTGAGGAATATTTTTGTCATCATCGGATGTACTCTTAACTAAGTTTTCAGTCCCATAATCACTGATAATTGAACTTAGTGAATCTGATGATTTCAACCCATCCGTATTCCCTGTGGGTAAACAAATGTTTCTTGATATCGAATGTGTATATTTCGTCTTTGAAATAATTTGTGCTTGTGTCAAAAATCATAGAAGTGACTCTCAAAGGATCATCAACAGGATCTTCTGTATATTCATTCCCAATATGTTTATCATGGTAGTCTAATATTTCACTCATTCTATTATCAGGATTCTTCTGGTTGATCTCAGTCTTGGAAGCTTTTCCCCTTAAGTAATATTGCAGCTCCAACGATTGTTCGTCATCATCCAACTTTACTAAATTTGGTGGTAAAGCCTGCATGTTTTCTATATCTTCCAATGTCTTGAATCTAAATTCATTTATTGAATTTATGCTAGAATCGATATCTTCCCCGTCCTTTAATTTTGATTGTCTTTCTATTAGCTCGTCAATTTTGATATTCACAGTCACACAAACATATTCCCTTAAACCGTTGAACTTATTCATCATTATTAATTCATGATATACAAATATGGAACAGATCATAGCAACGGTTAATTTAGTTATAAAAATACACCAAATAACGAATGAGAATAACATCAAAGATAGAATAACTGCTTCAGCATGATTTGTCTGTGCGATATTTTTTATTTTTTGTAGTAACCCATTTATTGTCTCTAAGTCTCCCAAAGTTGCTCCGTCACTTGTTGTAATTAATACTGACCATAGAGTTAAACCATTTATAACCTGTCTTGGTGTATCAGCAAATAATATTCTAAAACAATTTTTCAATTCAAAGAAGGTAAAAAAGGCGATTTTTTGAAATCTGTTATCAGCAGTAATCTTATTAAAAACACAAAACGTTGAATAACTTTTTAAAGAGTAATATGTTTGACAAAAATTATTTACATATGACAATGCAATATTTTTTGTACGGAATACACGCAACCCTCTAATAAGTTCCCAAATTAACAACACAATTGAGAATAAGATACAAGCACTGAACAACCATTTAGAGATTCTGAAAGGTAGGTACGGCTGAACAATATTATTTGACCATGAATTGAATGCTAACAATTTGATGCAGGTATAAACATCTGATATAAAGAGTGCTGTCTTCAAAAAATTCAAAATAAGAACAAAAAAAATGTAGCTGCACACAGTACCACGCTTTTTATTTTTAAATTCTGAGGCATCTAGATCATCAAATGTTTTGGGATTTATAGTATACTTCCAATTGCTCTTGAACATTTTTCAACAAGCATGAAAGGCTACCTTTCTGCTCTCACGTTTTTAGAAAATGGTGAGAAATAGAAACTTTGAACTAAAAAAATAACAAAGTCTTAAGTATCTTCAGTTTAACTCATTTATATTTGAACCTTGAAATCAATAATTGATTTAATGTCTTGCAAAGAATTTGAAATTGGCATGAAACACTTCTGGAACTGTTGACATTTTTTTTCTTTTTCATTCAAATGCATAATGCCTAGATTAGTTATAACGGAAAACCTTCACTACCAGATCCGAAACACGAAAATTCATATAAATAAGAAATACTAGATCAAAAAAGAATAAAAAAGTCGAGGAATATTCGCAACTATTTTTGGAAATGTATTTTTATGCTATTGTCAGCCAGCTGTGAATGCATTGTCATAGTTCTAAACTTTTTTAAAATCAGATGGAATTGATATATAGTATTTTAAAGTTTGAAAGAGCTTAAAAAGCCTAAAATTGAATTCAACTGAGCTGAATTAAAAATCCAATTAAAATTAATTGTTTAATGAGTTAAGAATCATCGTTTGAATTTCATATAAATAAGGCCGGCTTGTTTCTTGAGATGATGTTACCTGCATACAATTATCACTATCGTCTTTAGAATTTTCTATCATCCAATGTCCTACTGAAGTTTTCCACATATTATCTTCTACACAGAACTTTTCAATCATATTAGAACCAAGATTCCAATCAATTTGTTTTTTCGTTACCACTTCATCTTGTTCATTAGTAGGCGTTTGCATATTTGGATACATCTTATTTTGTGTATTGATCACCATTGATTCGTCTATTGAAGATCGATCTAACTGTGAAAATATCGATGGTGAAATTGAATGGATGGTTCCAGCACTGGTTAAAGATTCGTTACCTAGATAAGAATTTTCATTTGTCATGTATACATGATTGCTTTTCATATTTATTGAACTTGGTCTCCTGTTATTCTTATTATAATTGTTACTATTAAAGTCATTACGTAAAATATCATTTTGTATCTTAATTGTCCTAGTGCTGCTCTCCTCAGGTAATGAAATATCTCGCTTCTTGTGTCCAATGTTATATGAAATTACTTTATTGTAGTCTTCTAATATTTGAATATTTTGATCAATTTCTCTTTTGAGTTCAAATATTCTAGTTCTTGGGTTTTTTTTCTTGTTATTGCTACCATTACTTGCATTTGATAGGATATTCAACATGGGTCTATTTATATATTTCGTCAAAGGAGTACTCTGTATTTCTACATCTTCATGAAATCTAACTCGACTATTGTTAGATATTTGTCTTGAATCAGATTTTTCCACCATATGACCTTCTTGTTTACATATCTTTGAAGAGTATCCTAAAGAAATAGCTTTTTTCATTGGCGAAATCTTTAAAGATCTATTGTTTCTGATTTGTCTCTTAAACCCATTCTCCCTATCCTCTTCGCCATTGAAAATTCCCCCATACTTTGTATCTTCATTATCTTGTATTCTTAATCTTGGCTTTGAGGCAAAAATATTATCACTAAATTGACCCATAACTGCGCTCCTGTTAACTTCATTCCCCTCATGTATATTTGCAGGATATGCAGAGATATCCGGACCTTCATTATATATCGAAAACCTCCCATTTATAGCATTTCTAGTAATAATAGATTTATCAGGTTCAACTAATGAAAGTTCCTTGAGATCGTCTCTATCCAAGCGACGAATAGGCATTTCAAATTCCAATTTCTAGAGTTAATGGGCACCTAGTTTATTCCTCTTAATTGCCCTTTTAGATTACCTCTAGCTCAGTAATAGCTTATCATGAAATCAATGATGTCTGTTTTCTTTTATTTACATATTTGGATAGAAAGTTCAAAGGCTTTAAAATCGAATCGGAAACCCGAAGTATAACGAAATAAGACATTAAAGAGAAATAATGAAACGTAAATGATAATGAAACATAAAGTTTGAGGATATGAAGCATCCATGAAGTACAAATGGATAGTTGGATTAAATTTTAATGAAACTTTAGACATTTTTACCAATTTATTAAAAATTTGTAGCTAATATAATAAGAAATATACAATATATTGCTATAACTTCTGTTATAAATGGCTAGATATTCAAGAATAATTATTTAACGGATACCACAAGTACCATAATTACTAGACATTGGTCTTGTAGGTAACACATCATATATATATATGTATATATATTTGTGGGTGAATTATATTTTTGAGAATTATTCAATACTAAAACAATAATAATTTTATTGAATTTCGATGATGTATCTATTTAGTCATTGGCTTATTAATAATGTTATTATACCCAGAATAATGGATCTAAATAATCTTGTAATATACATCTTATGCGGTTTATTATTTTGACAAAGTCTGGCGATATAATTTGAAACCTCCCTGTCTTGCCAGAACAGTGAGATTTGAGTCATCCATTATTTATACTAAAGTAAACATGTCACAGATCTAGGAGTTAAAATGGATAGCAAATATCTGATAAATCCACTCCAAATATGTAGTAGAGACTTAACAAACAGGAACACTCTTAGATCATATAAAATAAAAGGTTAATTTCGAGCATTTGACGTACATGGCATCCCAAATAATACCCATAAAAGAAAATTAGACTATGGGAATACCTTACTTAAATTAGTTTGTAGTTTTTCAACAGTGAACTTATGATTTTCATCATCATTGGAGGTTTCTGCAGTGACAAATGGATTGCATTTCACTCTGATATAAATTCTTTTAACTTTATTAAAAAGATCATTGATCTTTTCGTCTTCTTCATCATATTCATCAACACCAATTACAATTTTTAATCCAGTTGGTTTCATTAGCATACCATATACAGCAACACCTTCTAATTTAAAGAATAACTTCACCATTATCTCTGTTTCTAATGCTAAGGTATCGAACAATTGACTATCAAAATAATCCAATGAAATATTTGAGAAAACGTTATATTTTAGTACCTTCTCTATATCTTGAGACTTTTCATCTGGAACATGAATCAGAAGTGGCTTATTTGTTTCATCAATAAGTGCTATAAATAATGGTTTATAATCTATATCATCACTCATCTCGAATCTTTGGTTTATATGTATTATAAAATCAATGTATAATGGGATCCTCCTGGGAGAAGAAATAAACCAATACAATTTCAAAATTTACAAGAAATTATTCGTAATTTCAACATTCAGAATAAAGTCATATATATATTAAAACCATGAACCATTGTTTAACTCAATTTTTCTGAAAGGTAGTCTCGAAGTGTTCTTTAATATGGCTAGTTTTCAAATTCGCAAAATTAACGATGGCCTTTCCATTAATGGAAGTGTGCCTTGAACAATTTATGTTAATAAGATGTAAAAAGACAAATAGTTTTTAATTTAGGTATTAAATTCATTATTTACGTTTAACATATATGTATATATTAAATTAGTGTACTATAAACTCAAAAAAGTTTCTTGTTTATGGCATAATTCGTTTTGGGTGCTTTTATTACATCTTAGAAGATAGTTATTCTATATTTTTGGCGATGTTATCAGCTGCACTCCTACCGTAGACGACACATTCTAATAAACTAGAACCACCCAATCTGTTAGAACCGTGGACACCACCAGACACTTCACCTGCAGCATAGATACCCTTGGCTAGAACTTGACCATTTTTGTTGATGACTTGAGATTCAGTATTGATCTTGGCCCCACCCATAGTAAAATGAACTACTGGTGTAACTTCACCAACATATATTTCTGAATCTTCTGTCAATTTTTCATCAAACACGTTAATTACTAATGGACGACCAAACTTATCAGTCTTATCAACTGAGTAGTCGATTAGATCTTGGGTAACAGCGTCTGCTGAAATTGGTAATTTATAAGTTTCAACAAATTCTTTGATGGTCATCTTACTGACTAACTTCTTGAACAAATAAAAGTCCATGTTGTTCTTGTAATTTTCATAAACCTTTTCACTCATGACTAAGAAGGCTTTGTTGTCGTCCCTTGGACATTGAGATTGGATAGCTTCAGTAACTAAATCTCTAGTAGTCAATTCATTTACGAATCTCTTACCAGTAGATGGGTTTAATAAAATACCACCTAAACCTCTTAATGCTTCAGCAGCTAAGAATTTCCATTTGCTATCACGGTTAGCAGGATCAATAAACCCAGTTGGATGAACTTGGATTTGAGACATATCAATTAAGTCAGCACCTAATTTTTCTAAAATCCTTTGACCATCACCAGTAGTTTGTTGACCATTGGTAGTTGGCAAATTTGCTAATTCTGGAGCATACTTATTTAACATTTCGGCAGAATGACCAAAACCACCTGAGCAGAATACAACATTATCTGTGGCAATTTTATGGTGCTTCCCTTCAGCATCTACATAATCAATACTTTCGACTTTACCTTCATTGTTAACTGAGACATCAACAACCTTACTATTTAATAGAATTCTAACAAATTCAGGATCACTTTCAGAGATTGCTTTCAACTTATTTGATAATGCTTGAACAATTTCAAAACCTGGTGGCAATTTACCAGAAGATCTATGAGTTCTTGGAACAGAATGACCACCTAATTGAGCCAATAAGTCTAACTTCAAATCAAAATCTTGTTGTAACCAATGGATAGCAGAATTAGAATCTTGAGATAGTTTCTTCATCAATGACTCGATACCTCTACCTTTGGCAGATTTAACAGTGTCTTGTAAAAACAGATCTGGGGAGTCCTTTACATTCAGTTGTTGCTGAGTGATAGTACTAGCACCGTTGATACCACTTGAAGCCTTGGTAGAATTACCACCAATTGAAGAAGCTTTATCCAACATGATAATTGGAACTTTATGCATGTTAACCAATTGGTTACCAGCAGATAGACCAGCCAAACCGGTACCAATGATGACAACAGGTTTCTTAGTAGACATTGCTGTATTATTGTATGTATGTATGTATGTATAGATATATATATCTTTAATTTAGTATATTGACTTTTTATAAAATTAAGGTTAAAATCAATGAACAATTAACTTAAACAAATCAAATACTGATTACTAATTTAAATTCGAAACTTGTTTTATGAGATGGTTCGAAACGAAATATCTTCATGTCGTACCTCAACTCTTTTATATATCTTGATACTGGAACGAGCGGATACGAGAAGGCATTCTGTGTATCACGTGTGTTCATTCGAATGCCCCTCTTTATATATTATAGAAGATCGATCAGGAGATCCATTGAGCCAATTTAGTGAGACCAACCATCAGCTAACAAGATATTATAGCTTTAAAACTAGAGGATCAGCTATTCTTTTGGAAGAAATTGCCTTAACAGACTTTTTTCTATAATTATATTCTTTATCAAAATATCTATTGTCAATGCCTGTGCGCGTGCAACTGTCTATCATATATAAATTTTATGTAATTATATCCTTAAAGATCATAAAGAGGGATGATAACTCTTTAGAGTGGGAAATAACTCCTGTCACAAGGGACAAAACAATTTTATAAGAATTGAAACTGAACCAACCATATAATGCATCAAAACAACAGACATACATGCCAAGCACATAAATGAAATGGAAATTAAAGTGAATCAGTTACATTTCTAGTTACTGTCACTTTTCACATCTTGGCGTACAACAGAAAAATATCATTCAGTAAAATGACACATTTCGTTGAAGTCTTTTTATCTATATCATGTCAATTATTATATATCAGAGCAGATGCAGAAATGTTAACATGTAGAATGATTATGCTTTTCAAAAGCAGGAGCAGAATTCGTATTACCAAAAGAATCAAACATATTAAGTCGATTAGTATACATAATGAAATGAATGCTAACCACTTGTCGTCCCTCCTCAATAGGGTGAGTTCTATATTAAAAAATCATAATAATATAGAACCATTGATTCTCAAATGTGCGTAATTATTAGAAAATTGATTTTGACTTAGGCAAAATCAGAATTGATATACGAATATGCTCATTAGAATATTTCATAGAAGAAAATATTAAATTACCCCATTTGATTAATAAAAACCTTATTCATTAACTGTGTCCATGAGACACACCAAAGAAAAATTACAATATGCCTTAAACCCCAATGCCACGTAACCTTATAATAATTAAAAATGTTTTTTTAATAAATTAATGCTCATTAATGGTAATTAAGACTAATATTTGTAAGTCTTAACGTCATGAATAGCATTGCCGTCTACATCCATCTTTTCAGTGGATTCACTACGATAAATCTTAGTGGCACCGTTAGAGTTGAAAGGATGAGCTTTTGAATATTCAAAAGCTTCACCGATGGCCAACTTGACTTTTTCCAAAGATTGTTCGGAGATTTGGTAGTGGAAAGAAACTCTACCACCCATCAATTTGACACCGTATTTCAAACCTTTCTTTACCAAAACATCTGGGTCCATTCTAGCCTTAGCCAAATCGATGAAGACAAAGTTGGTATCAGCAGGAGATTCCAATGGAACACCGATTTCTTTACAGTAGGCGGCCAAGCTGTGAGCCAAGGAATGGGAATATAATAACTTAGTTTTCCAGTCACCGTTGACACAGACCAAAGCCATTTTACTGATCATACCAGATTGTCTAATACCACCACCTTGTTGCTTTCTAAAGTGGTTAGCCTTCTTGACGAATTTCAAGTCACCAACCAAGACGGAACCGATTGGAGCACCAATGGATTTGGATAAACAGATGGAGATGGAATCGAAAATTTCACCGTATTGTCTTAATGGGACACCAGCTTGGGCAACAGCGTTAAAGATTCTGGCACCGTCACAGTGTAATTTCAAGTTATTTTCCATACACCAAGCCTTAATACGAACCAATTCTTCCAAAGGATGAACGATACCGTGCAAAGTATTTTCCAAAGAGATAATCTTGGTTGGAGCACCGTGAATGTCACCATCGTCTGGAACATAGTGAGATTTGATATCTTCTAGGGTCAAGTAGTTACCGTTTGAAGGAATTACAGGAACGACCATAGCTTGAGACAATATAGCCAAACCAGCAGATTCATGAGTATAGATGTGAGCTCTGTAATCACATAAGATGGAATATGGAGGTTGGAACAAATGAGTTCTCAAAGCGATTTGGTTTGACAAGGTACCCGAAACACAGAACAAACCTGCTTCCATACCTGCCATTTTGGCCAAAGTTTTTTCCAATAGGACAGTGTCAGAATCTTCACCGTAAACAGCATCACCGACAGAAGCAGTCAAAGCAGCTTCGATCATCTCTTTTGTAGGAGTGGTGAAAGTGTCAGAACGGAAATCGTTTGAAGCACCAGAATAAGGTAAAGGTAAATCGAATTCAGACATTATTAGAATATTGTAGTTGGAATAAATTGGGGGAATTTAAACGTGTGTATTTATTATTATAATGTATGGTATAGACCTAATTGCTATGAATTGAAATTTCAGTTAATTTCCACTGTCTTTACGTTTCTGTAAAGATTTTGTTTAAATATGGAAATAAATTGCAAATACCAGAGGTGAAATATATATCTATATATATATCTATTTATTGATAGCAATATATGAATGGTGTGTATGTTACGTATCAATTGTATTGAATCGAGAATAGAATGGAATAGTTTGTAAAGGCCAGATCAAAGTTCGAAACAGAGAAAACTTTATCTAATCGAAGAGAGTTTAACTCTATTATAAATAGATAATTTTTCTTGATGCTAGTACAAAGTGTGAACCAATGTATGAGCAAAAAATTTTTTCATTTCATCACCATAATCTGTATACCATATACCATTTAACTAACTTCGAATTGAATAGGCTAGTAACCTGCAGCTGTTCCACCTCTGTTGTAGAGAGAGAGACGCCCATAAAAAGACAGAGAGGGAAAAACAGAAACCATTAGCTAACTAACTAACTGCCAATATACAATACGGTACAAGAAAAAAAAAGATAAAAATAAAAAGGAAAAATAAAAAGTAAAGCAGAAGCCCAGAAGTGGGAAACCTAAAAAGTTCATAATTCCATCAGTAAGTTTCTTGGTCTCACGCAGTCTTGTGGGAACAGTCCTGTGCAGAGCACTGTTAAGTGATGCCATGTATCAAAACGAGAGAGAGAGATGGATAGTGTGTAACATAACATAACATATAGTTATATTCTTGATTCGAATACGTACTGTACGCTATTGTGCGGTAGAGTACGTAACCCAATTCAATTGTTGAGTATCCGAAACCGAAACCAGTAGAGAATTTTGAGTAAATTGGGCATCCCGAACAGTTCTGGAGGCAGGTCTGCCACAAGAAACGTTCACAGTTCTTTTTCGTAATTTGTAGTTTGTAATTTGTATGTCTTTTTTTTTCACTTTTTTACTTTTTGTACGGTTTTTCACATTTTGGAAAGTGAGTTGAATCGAATCGAATCGAATCGAAAACGGAAGAGAGAGAGGTGGAGCGTAGTGGTGGTGATGCATTTCGAGAGAGCGGGACCGAGCAGTTTGCTGACAGTGACGATGAAAAATAAACGGAATAAGTTTAGTTCTGGGAGGCGGATAGGGGGAGAACGCTAGGCAGACAGGCAGGTCTGGGTTCCTGAGATAGGCTGGTTGTAGGGATGGGAGCGGAGGGGGGGGAGGTCTGGTCGTAGGCAGGTGGACAGACTGACAGAGCTAGAGAAAGAGCTATTTTTGAATTTTGGTTTCTGGTTAGTCTCTCTCTTTTGTAACTTCAGCAGGCAGTTGGGGGGGGGGGGTCTGTACAGCAAAGATGATGTCTGTATTTGTTGTAGGTGTGGTTTTGTTCTCAGACTGGCGGACTTCCCTATAACCTGAGCTAAATTGATGGTCGGTGCCGTTTGAACTAAATTTTATATACCAGGTATGATGGTATACCCAAAAATGGAGTTAAGTTAGATACATGAAAATATCTGTGAAGCTAGCGGTTAATTATTTGTCTGTCCATCTCTCTCTCAATCTCAATCTCCCTCTCCTCCTCTCTGTCTGTCTCTCTAGGCTTTGATTTCACCGGAATCGATTTCTTTTACGTCTGTTTGAACTTGAGCAGATTGAGTAAGGCTTAACTATATTAAAGTTAGGGCTTGTATTTCAGTTCCATAGGTGGACATCCGTACATTGTTGTCTTTTCACTAACAACACTGTTATTATCTTGACTATTACCATTACAAGTACTGTGCTTTATCCATTTCTTCACCATGATGACGATTGAAGTCACATGGATCAAGATATTTGAAAATATGGAAGACAATGTCGGGTAACTTATTCTCTGATACATGTTCGTACCAAACTACTAATTTTTAATCAAGGTCTCATTAATCCAATCTGATTTAAAGAAAGGTATAACATAACTGCGATGGTAAAGATTATACACACACACATATATATTGGATAACGTCGACAAAACATCATCGGAACAATTGAACTAAATCATATACCTACCATAAATTAAAATAAATTCACTTCCTAAATCATGTCTGGCACACCAAGAGCTGATAGCAATTACGATGCAAGATTAGAGTTCCTAAGAACAGTAGCTCATCAAAATTTGATTGAACAACCTTCAAAATATAAAAGAGCCGGATACAAAAAACCAGGAAGAAGGCATAAGTCATCAAAACAACTGGTGGCTGACGAAATGAAAAGATTGAACAATGTAGAAGGAAACCCAAAACATAACGTAACGCATTTCACAGTAAATGCTCCACCATCGTTAAAGCCTCCAAAAAAATATTGTGATATTACCGGTCTTATAGGTAAATATAAAAGTCCAACAAATAATATTCGTTATTACAACTCAGAAATATTCCAATTAGTGGTAAAACCAATGACTACTGGTGTTGATCAACAGTATTTGAAATTAAGAGGTGCTGATTTCGTCTTAAAATGATCGATACCATACTTACATACCTCTTTCGACCCTTCTCCCATTCATCATTTCATAAATATTTTTTAATTCAAAATGAATATAAATATATACATATATTATTTAATGCATTATAAAGATCTGTTAACTTTTTATTTAAGTTCCATATTTCTTGAAGGCCTATTTATGGTTGGCCAGTAATACCCAATTGTACAATACCGTAAATGTTTAAAATACTTAAAAAGATCCAAATCAAGATTCCTATAATCGTAGTAAACCAGTTATTAGCCATATAAACAGTCTTGGTCCGTTGCCCATTCTCCACCTGTAAATCACCATCGACAGAATTCTCATCTTCCGAAACTTCGTCAGTGTCCTTTAATAATACTTCTGTCTTCATAATAGATTTCTTACTGGTGAAATAAATTAATGGGGCCGTTAAAAATGGTAGTAAGATGGATAGTACAACTTGAGAAGAATTCAAAGCAAGTGACAGTGCTTCCCTACCAATACAGATTGAGATCACTAAACATGGAATGATGGAGATGCATCTCGTCACTAAACGTCTTTGCCATGGAACTAATTTCCATTTAATATGGCCTTCACTTACAATCTGACCTGCCATAGTACAAATAATACCAGCAGATTGCCCACTTAATAATAATGCCAGCATGAATATCGTACCTGCACCGGATGATAAATTCCTAGATAACAGGTCGTGGATGGTATATAGATCAGCGTCAGTAGCTTCTGGTGAACCATAAAGAGTAGCACCTGCAACAATTAAAATTGCACAATTGATGAAAAGAGCAAAACTTAACAATGTCAATACTAACTCAATTATCGAATACTTCATACAATATTTGATTGCATCTAAAGTTGGTCTATAATCAAAATATCTTTCTTCCATAATTTGTTCTTTACTTTTCTTCCCCTCCAACGCAGAATCGGTCATTGAATAATTATTATTGTCTAAATCATATTCTAGTAATCTTGGTTGAACCAAACCAGAACCTAAAAACATAGAATGTGGCATCACAGTAGCACCTAAAATTGAAATTGCTGTATAAATACCATTGTTTTTAAACATCTGAGCAGAGGGTACGAATCCCCTGAATACTTGGCCAGCAGATGTAGTATCTGGGATATATGATAATTCGATGCAAAAACAAATAAATACGGCGATAACTAACATACCCACACCATATTCAAAATATCTGACTACATTCATCGAAGATGAACCTGGACGATAGAATATCATGATAATGAAGACATCAACAACTGATATAGCAACACCTGCAGGTAATGGAACTTTGATTAAAATATTCAGCGCAATTGCGGTACCGATGACTTCAGCAACGTCAGTTGCAATAATACAACATTCTGCAAAAAAATATAAAATTAAGTTTAACCATCTTGGTAAAAACTCTCTACAGGCACGAGATAAATCCAAACCAGTGACAGAGCCCAATTTAATACAAAGGCATTGTAAAAATATGGCAATAATATTAGAGACCAATACTATACATAATAAAGAAAATTGGTTTGATGCACCAGCATCGACAGCAGTAGAATAATTACCAGGATCGATATACGCGACACTAATCATAATACCAGGACCAATAAATTTGGCATATTTCTTTAGAATAGTTTTAATATTCCCCCAACTAAATGAATTGACTATTTTCTTCCCTTTAGAGTCATCTTTCTCATCATCATTAGAATTACTTGGTTTTATTCCATTAGAACTTACAACTTCGATAATTTGACTTAATATGTCATTGCTACAACCAACACGTGGATTTAGTTCTTTATCGCTTTCGAAGATTTCTATCTCTATGGGTTTCCAAGCATTTTTTACAATTTCAGATTCATAACTCATTGTTCAGCTTAAAGAATTAGTATACGAGATGACTTTAAGTATCAACAGTTCTGAACTCTAAAAAATCATTCCAAGTGCCTTACTAGATTCTACAGTATAATTAAAAAATCACAAATCCACTGTCACAAGAAGATATCTAGTTTATAAACTTAATGATGATGATGATAATGATGATATATATATATGTGTGGATAGGTTCTGATTCATAAGGTCAAGACTTCAACAATAGAAGTAAAAAGTGAAGGTGTAAATAATTTAAAGTAAACCCTTCCATATTGATATGTTCGAAGATTCATTGGCGAGAAGAATCTACTTAACTAGACTAGTAACAGTAACAGTCAAAGGTCCCATCTCTCAACTGGTTCTCAGAGCTATTCTCATTCTTTCTTACTGAACGCTAAAAAAATTCATCGACGTATTAGTTTTTCTCTTGATTTTTTGGTTATTCTAATGAAAAGTTTCAAATCAAAGGTTATTTCTCTTTTACCTATTTTCTTCTGCTCTCTTGTGAGTGAAACGAGATTCTAATGTAGGGAGAATGATGATGTTAAAGTTTTGCAACGTAACGTACAACAATAGTTTGATTTGGTGTTTTGTAAGTAGGTCGTTCTCAGCAATGCTGGTAGTAAAAGAGTAAGAACGAGAGAGAAGCATGAATGGGGGGAGGAAGGCAGGAAAGGAGAATGGGAAAGCTTAGGTCAGGTGATTGACAGCCAAGTATCAATTATGAGGTGAATATATGATATAAAATGGGTGCAAAAATGTAGAATTTAAAGGTTTCTGATCTTTGATCTTGGTGTTTATATAGTGTATTTGCTCATTTTGAATACGAAAATTTAATTCAAACAAGGTGTTGTTCTGTATACATTGATCTTGAACCATCAGTTGTTTAGCTGATGCTTCCTAACATTTTTTGGAGGAATCATGGTAAGAAAAAAGAAAGAAAGAATAGTAAACGGTGAGGAATGATGATAAAATAACGTTCATCGATCTTAGATTGAATTTTATCTCGTTTATAGTCCTTTTTTGGGGAAGTACAACCAAAAACACAAACATAAATCAATAAAAGAGGAATTGCAAATTGAACTGTGAAACCTTAATTATATCTTGTATAGTTGGCATAGTTCAAATCTCTCTAAGCGAGAATGATGTGATCAATCATATAAAGTTTGATTCTCGTCACTTTTCAGGAACCAAGCTACTGTAATATGCATATATAATTATGTTTGTGTTCAGTTTGTACGAGGTAGGTTATTCTAGGTGAAAAAAAAACCATCGGATTTTAAAAAGATCTGGGAAGAAGGACAGAGGAAAGATGTATTATAAGCAGATATCCAAATTAATTCATCTCAGAAATGAAAGGTCTCGTGACATCTGGATAGAACATATTCTACACTTATACACAATAATTAATTATCGAAACTTCAGTCGTATATAAGTATGCTGTTTCATACTTTTTATTCTCCCACTATTTAAATTTTCAAATCTGAGATAGAAATGATAAGGTCGGCGGTTAAATACAATTTTCTTCTTATTAAGCGCCAACTTCTTATTTTAATTTTTTCTACTGTGTTTTGTTTGATTGCTTGTTTTTGTGTCTTGTTTTGATGAACCTTACTTTTGCTACCGGAGTTATAATTAATTTAATAAACTGGGTTGGATACTTTCCTTGTTGGCTGATCTGTATATGTGGATTTGCATAATGTAAGAAAAAGGGGGATAAAATATATAAATGCGCTGTTTATATAAATGTAATGTATTTTTTAAGAAATACATTTGTTTTATAATTCTTAATTCCATTACAAGAAATGTATATTTTTTATATAAACTTGGATGAGTTTCAAGTTAAAGGAGTTCTCCCCTAGTTCATGATCACTAAACAGTTTCAATTCCCAAAATTAAATCGGTTGCGAAATGTTTCCGCAGTAGTGTTGATAATTACAGATATATAATGTATATAGTTGACCCAGTATCTATTCCCGTCATCACTAAAGGTATTCATAGCATTGATGAATTTCTGTCATGATGACCATGGCCATATAAAAATATGCATTTATGTTACTGTCACGTGTATCTCTGTGGCAAATATGCTGTTGTTGTTTTTTAATATGGGCTCATTGTGATTTTTAGGCTTTAAGATTTTGGAGTCCGGATAGGTGGTTGGGACTCGTTTCTTTTTTGTATATATTAAGTACAAACATTTCCTTTTCGTTTCTTTTTTCTATTTATATATAGTATGTTTTGTGTTGTAGTTACCCACTTTCTACTGTTGCCAAACTCACTGCTTGTGCGCCAGCTCCACTGGGAAAAAGAGGAAGAAAAATATGTTACGCTTATTTTTATTGGGTTACCATTTGTTTGTTTGTTTGTCTGTCTTGTTGCAGTCGACAATAACAACAGTTTGGTTTGGTTCTTATTTTCGATTTCGTTCGATTTGTACCGATTGATTTGGATCGATTCCGATGCCGAATAGTAGAATTTTGTTTTGTCTAGCTATTCTGCTAATAAAAATCAACTACCAGATTATAGGTTTTACCATTTTCACCTATCCATATGAACGTACTGTTATCATTATACATATATTTTGATTCGAATTCGATTTGTATTTGGAGTTCTATGGTGGTTTCTACGAACATTATTTAAATTTTCGATATTTATTGAAATTAAAACCCACAATTTTTCAATTAATTATAAAATTTTTGTTTTGATTTAGTTTATTTTAATAAATAATCTCTATTAAAATTTGTGATTGTAAAGGCAATATTTAATACCACCATCCAAGAAATAAGACAGACTTTACCTGCTACTAACTAAAAAAAATTAAGCATTTATAAATATTAGAAAATTTGTTTTCTCTTCGATATTTAATTTTTTTTTTTTTTACTCTAACTATCACACATAGCTAATTATATATTTTGCTTCTTTAATACTGGCTATTAAGAAAGCACTAATGGGTCACTTTTATTTGACCTTGTTAGCAGCACTTTGGGCATTGCATCGAATTTACATATTCCTGACAATTCCAGTTCTAAAAATTGTTAAATATCTTAACATCAAAACTCCATATGCAACTAAAGTTTCAATAGATAAAATTACCACTACTTCAATAGCAGTACATTGGGAAAATGAACCAAGAGAAATATCAATAAATAATAGCAATACTAAAATAAAACTTAATAGTAATAATGACAATAACGACAATAACGACAATAATGACTACACTACCAAAAGGAAAGAAAAGGAATCATCAAAAGACAATACTGATCAAAAATGTACCGATGATTCTAGCATTTCTCATTATATCTTGTATTTGAATGGTACACAGATTGCAGTATTCCCAAATTATCCGGATTCTCTATATACTTGCTGTTCATTAAATGGTTTAAAATCAAATACAACATATCAATTGGATTTTATTACCGTTAATAATATGGGTTTCATAAACAAGTTGCCTTCAATTCATTGCATGACAAGACATGAGAAAAATGATGTTGTTAAAACTCCAAAAAGTTCCTGGAAAAGAAACTCTACACCAATCGGCAGTTCCATTGTAACTGAAAACGTATCCAGTTATAATACTTTAACTACTTTAAAAGATTTAGAAGATTATTCCATCGACGATTTGAAAAAGATTCTGATATGTGCACAAGAAGACTTGCATTATGTTACTTCGCAAAGGTCAATTATTTTGAATGATTTTAAAGATTCAAAACTGCAACTAAAATTAGAACTAGAAAATCTGAAAAATAACTGGCATCATGAAAATGAACTGCATAAATCGCTGAGATCAAATATTAAAACTTTAGAAAATTCAAAAGCATTATATGATTTGAAGTTGGGGAAGTTGAATAAAAAAATTGAACAATGTAAAACAAAACTTAATAAAATGGAAAATGAATTGAAAAATTGGCTGAATCAAGATACAATGTTAGAAGTATTAGAGGAAAACTATGATTCGAAAACTGCAAATATCAAAAAAGAAAAAGAAAGACTATCAAGTGATATTATACTTTTACAAGAAGAAGTTTCAAGAAAGGAATTGATTAATAAAGAATTGAACACGAATAAATCGAATATTGAAGTGAAAACCGATACCAGTAAGTTAATCACTGAAATCAATGATTCAATAAACGATGAAACAGGATTATTGGACAATGCCGGTTCTTCTGTATTAACTAAGTTATCGACATCATCTACATTCTATAATTTGATTACTGATCATCTGAATATTGATTCCAAATTAAATTCATCTTGGAATAGAGAAAAAAAATCATATATGAAAAGAATAGCATCCTTGGAAGAAATGTTTAACCAACTAAGTTTACAAAACTCCCAATTGAGGGCCAATATGATAATACAACCATATTCAAATGTAGAAGCTCAATCACTTTCAAATCATGGATCAGGGACTGCATTAAATGAATTGACCGGTATGACATCTCCTATTCCTAATAGTGGTAGCTTTATAGACATGATTAGTTTAAATGAAAGGAGTAGCACAATTGGTAATAATTCAACCAAAGATAATGGAACAAGACAATTTGTTCCTGCAGCTACAAGTCCTAATATTGGCGGTCCTGAAAATGAAAATAACAGTAAAAAAGCTATTAATGATCAAATCAATAATATATCAATTAATAATAAGCATGAACCTCAGTCAGAAATTCTAGGACGTAATCGTGCAGTATTTATTTTTGATGAGGAACAAACACAACATGCAGATCCGAATCAAATTCAGCAACGTAAAAGTCCAAATCTTGCTACACAGATGAATATTATTAACAATCAATTTACACATAGTTATCCAACAACCGCAACTGTAACAACAAATGCTACTGCATCTGCAACCCCAAATTTAAACTTACACTTTCCCTGGACTGAGAGTAATAGCGAGAAAAAGGAGGCACAACTTGCGAACAATGAAGATTTTTATCAACAATTTAATTACGACAATGCAGATCATGTTATCAGTGGATTACAAGATATGATATTTGAAGAATCGGATGATGTTGATCACATAAGCAATTATTCAAAGGGTTTTACTACAGATCAATTGGATAATTATTGGACAACAAAAAGCATGACAACTGATAGCAACAGACTCTCTGTACAAGACAAAATTTCACCTACATCACCTCAAGCAGTTTTGGCATTTAGTAATAAGAACGATTTTATCTCGCCTATATCAACAGGCTCATTACCATTTAATTCATACTTAACGAACATATCATCTGGGCCAGATAGTTCACAGCAACCATTTACAAGTTCTTATAATGATAACATAATAGGATCTTTCCCTGAATCAGTCAGCATGAGGAACTCTAATTCATTTAATTATTTCTCAAATGAGCCAACATCAGCACATTCGTCTGCTACCATGATTCCAGATGACAATCGATTACATATTTTATCAGGCTTCCGCGATAACAGCAGCAGTGCCAACAATTCAAGCAATAATCAAAGCATAAATACAATTGAGACTCATGGTAAAAACTCGCATTTTAGTAATTTCCTTTGGAATACCTCTGCAGCCTCTGATTCTCCCAACGATAGCAAAGATACTGACAAGACGCCAACAACAAGCCCTTCGAAAAGGAAATGGTTCTCTAAAAAACCTAGGAAAAAATCTATAACTTCCCAATAAACTTTTAAATTATAACCATTACTCTGTAGCTTACGATAATAATTTCCTGATAATGAACAGCCTTGTGTAGACAAACAGTATACTATTTACTAGGACCTATCTATATATCAATGTTCTGTGTCAAAGTTCTTAATATACGGGTTTTTTATCTACAGTGCTCGAAAGATCAAATGATTAATTCGAATCTATTCATATTTTTAATGGTTTTGATTTCACTTCTATTTTGCAATGTTTTTACATGATATCAATTAACGTAGGAGATCAAAGATGATATACACCAACTGCTCAAGGTAATGCGACAGGTTTAAAAGTAAGTACCCTACCTGTTCTCTCATTAGGCATGGTTTATATTTTTTCCATCTCGATAGAAATTTAGTTAAGATACGAATACTGCAATTCAAAATTTATTTTATCGAGTTTTCTGCTGCAAGATCCCGTACCTAATTAGAGAAGCTTTTTTGACAAATTGAATTAGTGATTTTTTCAAAATTACCAAACAGCAACTGAAAGAGGGGAGAAGGTTTTACTATTAAGAATAGCATTGAATACCCTGTAGAACAAACAGCGTATTGTTGTCAATCTAGTACAAACTATAGTTTATAGCTTATCCACCCAACAAAAAGAAAAAACAAAAAGAAAATTCAATTTGGTAGACAAATTCTACAATACGGTGAATTTGTAGAAAATTGATAGATAGACGTTCCCAAAACAGCAAAAAAATTGAAAACTAAAATAAAAAGCTCACTCACTGTATTACGTGCTTATTTGATCATTAGGTTCCATCACTACCGACAGCGAACATTTAGCTTTAACTGAAATGATCATAAAGAGAGTTATACATATCCAAATAAAATGAAAACTCCTCGTGCCTCTGCGTAGTTCATTGAAGGGATACTTCTCTTATCATGTCTGTCTGGTTCCGTGCTGCCCAAATACCATTTTGGCACATTGGTAGCAGCCTTTTTTTGTCAATCTGAGGTTTACTAACAACAGAAAATGCATAAAACTGTTACTATATTTGTTTTTCTATCTTCATTTCATACCCATCTGGTTATTATTCACTCGTGGTAATAATATATACAACAATTTAATTAAATCATCTACTGGGACTTACAAATATACACGTTCCTATTACAAAACGCTTTTATCTTTTATTTTTTTTGTTTTACAGCAAAAGACTATGTGAACTACTGCCTCATTTTTTTTTTCATTGAATGAATACATTTGTGAGAGCATGGTACTAAATAGTAGCTGCTGTTCTCTTGAACCTAAACATCTTCCCTCTCTCTCTCTGGGAGCACTTCACTTCCCTTCGAAACTGAACAAATCTTCGAAAGATGACGACGACCTTTCCTGGTTCCTTGAAACTCTTTCAAAAGTCTTTTCTTGTTCGATTTCGTCACTAAAAATTTCGATTTCGAGAAATATCGCTAGTACGGTTATTTGTCAGTCGGTTTTAGACCAAAAAAAGAAATAAAATCAGCATTTCGATATCATTTTTAATTAATCGTAATAGCTAACTACTAACACATACAACAATTAAATTTATATAGCTAACGTGTTCAGATCTCGTTATTTAAACAAGCTATAAACCTTCAATAAATAGATATATGTTTACTAGAAACAGGATTGATTAATAACAATATATCCAAAAAAAGATCATTGTTCTCATTAAGAAACTGTTTAATTTTAAATCTATTTCATTAGTGTGATAAAGAGGTATCGATTCTGCTTATTTGCAATTCTTTTTCGACTCTATTGCAATCATTATAATTGTTATAGATATAAGATATATCAGATTTGATTGTATCTGATTTTCTATTCTTATTCATATTCTTTTGATTTGGGATTTTCCAAGGTAGATTAACTCTTCAAATATATATATATATAAATATATATATTTGTTCTACCCTGGGTACTGTTTTCAACAGATATTTTTTATTATAATACGAAGGCAAATTAAGCATCGTCATTATTAACAATGAGAATTGCTACTGCAAGGAATTATCGTTTTATTATTGCTGCTTTTGCAGTAATCATGGTTATCCTATTAGTAGGTTCATCCTCTAAGAAAGCCAGTGTATCTAAAGCAAAATTTGGTACACCAGGTAATTTGAAACCACCTGTACAACAAAATTTTGATGGTTCTGTAGTGAACAATGTCGATTCTGGCTTAGACGCTCAACAAGATAATGTTGGTAGTACCAGTTTTGGTGATGATTCAAAAGTTGCTCCTCCACCTGTTCCACAATCTCCTCTCGATGATGATGATGAAGAATACGATGAATTTAAAACATTGCCAGTTGATGATAAGCCAGGTTTTATTGATGATGGTTCGACTGCAAAGGGTAACCCAGCTGTAAATCAAGCCGTTAAGAACACTCAATCTGGTGGTAATTCTTTGAAAGATACTACTGGTCAAGCTAGTTCTTGTGGTAAAGATCATCAATTCGTTGTTATGATAGATGCAGGTTCCTCTGGTTCAAGAGTACATGTTTATGAATTTGATGTATGTTCCCAACCTCCAACTTTAGTTCGTGAAACTTTTGAAAAGGTTCAACCAGGTTTATCAAAATATGAAGACAATCCTACTGCCGGTGCCAAATCATTGGATGTACTACTAGAAAAGGCATTAGAAGTTATTCCCGAAAAGAGTATGCGTTGTTCCCCAGTAGCAGTCAAAGCTACTGCTGGTTTACGTAAACTTGGTGAAGAAAGTGCTCACAAGATTCTATCTGCAGTTAGAGCACATTTGGAAGATAATTATCCATTCCCAATTGTCGAAGATGAAGGTGTCTCTATCATGAGCGGTGAACAAGAAGGTGTTTACGCTTGGATTACAACAAATTATTTATTAGGTAATATTGGTGCAGGTTCCAAGATCCCAACTAGTGCTATCTTTGATCTAGGTGGTGGTTCAACTCAAATTGTTTTTGAACCATCATTTGAAGGTAATGAAAAAATGGTTGACGGTGAACATAAACATGAATTAACCTTCGGTGAACAAAAGTATACATTATATCAATTTTCACATTTAGGTTATGGTTTAAATGAAGCCAGAAAACAAATTAATTCACGTTTAGTTCAAAAATATGTTGATGCTGGTAGAGTTGACCCACACTCTAGAGAACCAATTACATTACAACATGCATGTTTAGCACCAAATGAAAATTTGATTGCTGAAGAAGTTACATTAAAATCTGGTGATGTGATATTAGTTAATTTTGAAGGTGTCGCTACCGCTAATCCAAAGAACTGTAAGAACTTAATCAAAGGTATTTTGAACAAGGGTAAGCAATGTACTCAAAAACCATGTTCATTTAATGGTGTACATCAACCATCATTAGTTCACACTTTCAAAGAAACCAATGATATGTATGCATTCTCCTACTTCTTTGACAAGACTAACCCATTGAATATGCCAGAAGCTTTTACAGTTCAAGAATTAATAGACCTAGCAGCAACTGTTTGTGGTGGTGAAGAAGTTTGGGCAAAGGAATTTTCCGACTCACCAGAAGCCATGCGTATTTTGAAGAAAGAACCAACATTGTGTATGGATTTAACATATGAAGCTTCGTTATTACACGATGGTTACGATATCCCATTAACAAGAGAAATTAAAACAACTGAAAGAATTGATAACAAAGAAATCGGATGGTGTTTAGGTGCTTCATTGCCATTATTAGATGGTTCTAACTGGAAATGTAAAGTGAAGGAAATCGAATAGTTTTATTCAAGTTCCAATTCACCTGATCAAAAATAGAAGTAATAATAAAAAACAATGGTAATAATAACATTTTGATGTGAAATAAACGTTTTATTTTATGTATATGTAATGTATGTCCCTATACCCTCATTCTTCACACATCCCTTCTTTTTTTATTTTACGCCTTCTATTTCCTTTCTATTATTATTATTACAATTATAGTTATTTATCACACTCAGCAAAGCTCTATATACTACGAAGTGGTATCTAAAAATTAAATAGGCAAAAAATATTTACGTACACGAACAAATATCTAAATGATTCATATTTAAAAAATCAATCGAGTCTAAAGCATAGAATAAAATCTTGCCATACAAAATCGAATTCAATTCAATTCAATTCAATCCAACCCAATCCAATCGTAACAGACCAGAGACCCTTCCTGGATACTTCTCCCTGGCCCCCCATCCCCACCCCACAACTCCCGATCAGAATAACTCCTTCGTATGAATCCACATCTGCACCAGGCTGAGGTGAGGTATCGAGGTTTTATTTTTCGTGTGCCTACAGCAAAGTTCACCAATTCCAACCAAATTGGAAGAGGCAATCAAATAAAACAGACACCGATTAAACCAAACGGTGTTTCATATTAAAAACTTTTAAGTCCACCATCAAACCAAATCCACTTTACTTGTAGATACATGTTGAAGTTTGCCATAGTAACCATTAAATAAACCTCTGTAAATTTTCATCATTTTTCGAAAGCTTTGATAATTACCGTTTCGAAGTTGAAAAATATCACCCTATTATCAACACTTTTCGAACTTGCAATTAATAATGGGATAGGTAGTAGTGATTTGAAGAAGTTAAGGACAAGAGTGGTGACCAGCATTGTTCTCTATAGGGGGGAAAACACTTGTAGATACTGATACTTGTTATTATTATTGTTTTAATAAAGGACAGATAGGTGTTTAGTGTACTTGGTTGATTTATTCTTTTGCTCTTCTATATAAATAAGAAGGTGTGATTGAGGTTTAGGATTAATCAAAAAAATACCGGTTCAAGAGAAGAAGGGCATCTATTAGTTTAATCTGATTTCTATACATCTGTTTCTTTGTCTCTCATTATTTGATATATTTTGTGACAAATTGGTTGTCTGATTTGGTTTCTGAAGTGGAACAGATTGATAGATAGATAGATTTATACACACATATATATAAAGAGAAATTTTAGCCTGGATAAGTGCTAGAACTAGTTTTTGCTGAATTTTTAGTATGAAAAGAAGTTTGGAATTGATCAAGAAAGATGGGGACGTTGTTTCCCCTGATTTAAAATTGGCCAGGACAAAACCAGATACTTCAGATATAAAACTTAAATGGAAATTATACGATGAACCAAAATCAACGGATATTATAGAGAGCAAAACCAAAAAAATTACAGATGGTTACGATGGTTGTATAGAGGTTAGTAGAAGAGATTCTAAAAGTACTAGCAAATCTATGCCTAACGTTTCAGAAATGAAGGCTTCTTTTAAACCACATTTTAAATATGCTTCTCATGCTTACGGGTTAAGGATGATGTCGAAAAAAATATTTAATACTAGAGTAGAGTTAGATGTTGAAAATCTGATGATTGTGATTAAGCAGAATGAAGTCTCTCTGATATATCTAATGAGAGAACTAGTCGAGTGGTTGTTGATAAATTTCCCCTCGATAACAATATATCTTGATGAGGCTTTAAAGGGCTCGAAGACTTTTGATGCCGAGGACATTTGCACTGATAGTAAATGTTCTGCAAAAAGAATTAGCTATTGGAATCAAGAATTTTTGGATAATAACGTTGGGTTCTTTGATTTAGTTATGACTCTAGGTGGGGACGGTACCGTTCTTTATGTTTCTTCAATCTTTCAAAAACACACCCCACCAATTGTGTCCTTTGCACTAGGTTCTTTGGGATTCTTGACTAATTTCAAATTTGAGCATTTTAGGAAAGATCTGCCTTTGATATTAAATAATAAAATTAAAACAAATTTAAGAATGAGATTAGAGTGTAAAGTCTTTAGAAGACGAGATCCAGTCGTTAATCCAGAAACTGGCAAGAAAATTTTTGTTTCTGAATTAATCTCAGAACATCATGTATTAAATGAATTAACTGTAGATAGAGGTTCCAGTCCTTTCATTTCAATGCTGGAATTGTACGGTGACAGTTCTTTATTTACCGTGGCACAAGCAGATGGTTTAATTGTTAGTACACCAACTGGTTCTACAGCTTATTCTTTGAGTGCAGGCGGCTCATTAGTCTACCCAAGTGTAAACGCTATCGCTGTAACACCAATTTGTCCACACACTTTGAGTTTTAGACCAATTATTCTACCAGATAGTATGAATTTAAAAGTAAGAGTTTCTTTGAAATCGAGAGCTACCGCATGGGCAGCTTTCGATGGTAAGAATAAAGTAGAACTTCAACCTGGTGATTATATTAGCATTGCGGCTAGTCCTTATGCATTCCCAACAGTTGAATCTTCCTCATCAGAATTTATAGACAGTATTGGTAGAACATTGAACTGGAATGTTAGAGAAGAACAAAAGTCATTCACTCACATGTTATCACAAAAGAATAAAGAAAAATTTGCAATAGAGTCTTATAAAATGGATGATTCTGATTCTTCGGTAGAAGAATTAGAAGTTAACGAGAAAATTGGTGATGAAAAGTTAGATATGGATAAGATAGAATCTTTATTGGATCAAGCTGATATAAAAGAAAAGGTCCATTTTTCAGATTAGTTCCATTGGGTATCATTACATTCAGTAAGAAAAACAAAAAAAAAGTTAGTAAATGGTTGATTAAGATTGGTACTTGGTATCTCATAGTTTAATTAAGATGTTTAGATATCTAAATTTTTTTTTACATATTTTTGTTGACAAATATATGCTTAAGTAGAAGGGTTTTTTAATGTAAAGTTTCGTTTTCCCTGATCCAATTTATTAATTATATATACAATCTAGGTAATGAGCATTAACTTGGAAATATTTAATTATGACATCAGTTCGAAAAAAAAGGAAGTCAATAGTTCCACTTGTCAAGATCAATTCAGTGTCACTAATATTATCAAGTGTTGTTGGGAGAGGGGAAGGAGTAGATGATATAGCTATAATATTCCATAATTTCCAATTAAAGAAAATGGTCTCAGCCAAATAATATCTAAGATGGTAATTGTAGGGTTCAATTTAATTATGGTTAGTTCAATTTCAGTTGCACTGGCAATATCATGAAAGACACAGTAAGGTTTCAACTAGCCACTCGACTTCTATTAGATCTACTGGGGTAATGTAATAGTTTGGAGTAAAAAGAACAGAATCTTTTCGCAGGTTCATTTCCTATTTAGGCATTCGTGTTATAAAATACATCATTTTTCGTGCTGTGCAATTTTCTCGAAAATGACATTTTCCTGTTTGGGACATATATATGGTAGTTTGGTTTCCTGTTTTGGAATATAAATTGATTTCATTTCCTAATTTGGTAAGCGGGTAGTTCGAAACTGAATTTATTGAAGTATAATAAAGAATGTTGGGATAAAGATAATAACTTTAATATATAAAGGGCTATGATAATCGAGATTTAGCTCTGAGGAATCATCTTCTGTCTGATGGAAGGTTAATAACTGCTAATAATCAAAACCGTAAGACGATGAAGACGTATTTTTTGGTTAGTGCATTACTTGCATTAGTTAGTTTTGTAAGGGCAGAGATATATTGTAACGAGACTCAAGCATGTCCTGAAGAATTGCCTTGTTGTTCATTAACAGGTATCTGTGGTTCTGGTACATTTTGTTTAGGTAGTTGTAATCCTAAGTATTCATTTGGTTTGGATTCTTGTTTACCAGTTCCAATTTGTAAAGATATGACAACAGATTTCAAGAGTTACACCTCAAAATTATTGAATACATACACTTACTTAGGTAATGTCAGTTCTGCTGATTGGACTTATTCTGGGTATGCGATGGATTATGATGATGATGGAAGTTTAATTTTAGCTATGCCTAAGAATACTACTGGTTCTGTTTTATCTAGTACAAGATATATGTGGTATGGTAAAGTTAGTGCTAGGTTAAAGACATCTCATTTAGCTGGTGTTATTACTTCGTTTATTTTATATTCGCAAGTTCAGGATGAAATTGATTTTGAATGGGTTGGCGCTGACATTAATATGACCCAAACTAATTTCTATTGGCAAGGTGAATTGAATTATACCAATAGTGGAAATATTTCTACGTTGGATACATATGATAACTATCATACATACGAAATGGATTGGCAAGAAGACTATGTTAAGTGGTCAGTTGATGGTGTTGTTGGTAGAGTATTGTATAAGAATCAAACATATAATGCTACATCTGGTGAATACAAATTCCCACAAACTCCATCGAGAATTCAACTTTCTATCTGGCCAGGTGGTGCTGCCAGTTCTCCAGAAGGTACAAGAGCATGGGCTGGTGGTTTAATCAATTGGGATGCACCAGATTTAGAAGACCCAGGTTATTACTATATGTCCTTGCAACAAATTAACATTACATGTAACGATCCAACTGAAGGTATTGTTAGAAATGGTACACAAGCTTATAAATATTTAAGTACCGATTCATTTTATCATAAGGATATTGGTATAGTTGATGCGAATGTGTTAGTTGGTAATTTCAATGGTACAGGTGAAGATCCACAAACCAGTACCACCCGTAGCAGCACTAGTAGTAGTAGCTCTAGTAGCAGTAGCTCTAGTAGTAAAGGAAGCGCAAGCGGCAGTGGTAGTAGTACCCAGTTGATGGGTAGCAGTGTTATTTTCAACAACAGTACTACATTTACTACAGAATCAAGGAGTCAAAGCAGCACTTCTATACCCGCTGTTCAATCTACAGCATTCATTCAAAACACAGGTAGTCCAGTGAGTAGTGATAACAATGCATTCAAACTACAAGCTGGACTCTCTAGCATACTAATATGTATATTAGGTTACCTTTTATAAACAATCTCATGATAATGTAATAATTAATAAATACCATAACATAAAATTAGATCAAAGAACAATAGTAAAAATAAAACAAAATAAAATAAATAAATATATGAATATTAGAAGTTCGTTATAAATATATATATAAGCGTAGATATATTTTTCAGATTATATAAAATTTGAATATGTCAATTAATTGTTTTTAACGTTATTGCTTTTTGAATTATTTACAAGCCTTAACTAAGTAAGCGATCAAATCGTTTCTGTCCTTTTCCTTCTTCAAACCACCGAAAGCCATCTTGGTACCTGGGATATATTTCTTTGGGTTGATCAAATAATCAGACATGTTGTTTTCATCCCAAACGATACCCTTCTTGATGTTAGCATCAGTGTAAGAGTAACCTGCGGCAGAACCGGTTTGTCTACCAAAGACACCATGTAAATTTGGACCGACCTTGTTTGGACCACCAGCTTCAACGGTGTGACATTGCAAACATCTAGTCTTGAATAAGGTAGCACCTTTCTTTTCACTGCCTGGAGTATAAGCCATTTTTGATTAAATATGTATATGTATTGGATAGAGTCTTTTTGTAATACTGCTGAAGTGGGAAACGAAAAGGAGCAGAAGCAAGCAATAAGAAATGTCAATTAGGAAAAACAATTACATGATATAGAAAGTGATCCAAAGCACAAGATCAGAATTGTCATTGTGTTTATATACTTATTTCATATCTGAGCAGAGTTGAGATGTTGAAATGAGGAAATAAAAAATTTAGCATGAGAAGCAAGCGATGATTGCGAGAGAGAGAGAGGTAATAGAAGGTTGGACGTTGTGTGCTTAGAGGGAAGAGTTGTAGAAAAATTTGCTCTGCTCTAGTTGTAGTGGGGGGGGGACCCATTAGCTAATGCATTTCGAGATAGGTAGGTCGATAAGCTCAGTCCGATGTATAGAAACTGAAATATATTCATCCATCCATCTATTGTGAAGTTGCCTAATCTTTCTGTCCTTGTTGGAAAAATGACGATATATTTCAGTATGAGTCCAGCGACAGTTGCTTGTCTGTTTGTCTGGTCGTCCGCCGGCTGCTGGTGGCCCCCCCAGCCCGCAGCCGGTAGTATCGCCATGGGCAGGCTAGGCAGAGAGGGTGGTTCTTTCTGGACTGGACGGATCGGTGTGGACGGGTGGTGTGCTTCAGTGTGTGTCTGTGTGTATGGGTTGGCAGAGGGACCGGCCGAACCAGTCACATTGTCAGTGAGAGTGTCATTGTATCGGCACAACGATAAATCCGAGGTCCCGGGGGGGGGGGGGGAGGAAGGGAGAGCACCACCGTAGAGAAGTCTTGTTTTGTGGTCGAAACAAAACAAAAATGTGAGTGATGACGATGCACTGCCAACTGCCGACTGTGAACTGTATGTCAATGTGTTTTCAATTCCTCGATCGATTTCGATTTGTTTTGTTTCCGTTTCGTGACGATGGCTGGGGAAAAGTCGTAGGAGCACCATGAAATTATATGTCATGGTTGGCTGTGGTTTGATTGGTTCGTTTTATGCGATGTGATAACGTGATCATCTGGATGTTCGTGGGTTTTTTCACGTGATTGTATCGTTTGTCGTTATCATAGGTTTTTCAAGTATTAGCATCTCTCCCGTTTCTACGCCTAAACGCTCCAGTTGGACGAAGATGAAAAATTGGTCCCCATTAGCTGATTGCATCGAAAAAATAACATCGATGTAATAGTCTGGAATGTATGTATTGTATTGCATTATAATAAAGAAAAAAAATAAGCTTGTATCAAAAACTAGCACTTGCCATCTCTTGATCTCTTAGTAGAAATAAAGGGTTCAAAAGGGTCTGGCAATTAAAGGGAATTGAATAGTAAAAAAAATAAAATGGTACAAGAAAGTTTCGATTGTTATCTGTTAGACATCGAAGGTACGATTTGTCCAATTTCGTTTGTCAAAGAAACGTTATTCCCCTTTTTTTTACAAAATCTATCAAAGATAATTGAACATCCAACAGATGACCAATTGACAATATTATCGAAATTTAATATCAATGATTCCACCGAATTGTACAACCATATCAATAATTTGGTCTTGAACGACATTAAGGATCCAATATTGAAACAATTGCAAGGTCACGTGTGGCAAGAAGGTTATGAAAATGGATTGATTAAAGCACCAATTTATCAAGATTCAATTGAGTTTATCAAAGACAATGGGAATCGAATTTACATTTATTCTAGTGGTTCTGTGCGTGCGCAAAAGCTGCTGTTTGAATTTGTTGCGTGCAACGATGGCAAAGAGACAATTGATTTGAGACCATCCATACTAGATTATTTTGACATCAACACGTCTGGTGTCAAGACGGAGAGCTCATCATATGACAAGATAGCCAAAACGATCGAACATTCAGAACATAGAGAAAGGATATTGTTTTTAAGTGATAATCCAAAGGAACTTGAAGCAGCAAGCTCAGCAGGCCTGTCCACCAGACTGGTAATCAGACCAGGCAACGCGCCTGTAGAGGACGATACGAAATATACAAGCATTAGATCGTTATCGGAATTGTAGTTGTAGATTTAGATGTAGTTGAGTATGTAGAATATAGTAATTGCAATTAAAATGCTGATACTAGCATAATAGATAAATTGAAAATGCAGGCCAACCTTCATCTTGAGTTTGTATTGAAATGAAATGAAATTTATCGATGTCAGTGGAAGAGAGAGCGGATGCGTTAAGCTTGGTGTGTCAGCCTAGAAGTAGAGTAGAGATACAGTTTTAATAGTGAAATGAACCAAGATCCATCAAAATTTCTGTCTGACCCTAATCACAAAAGAGACCAAGACGTACTTTGGAAAAGTGGTTTACCCGGTCTGTACGTTACAGTTGCACGCCCCTGCACCACCACATTAACAAACAAAGAAACAGTAAAAACCACAACTCTTTGGGATTTTTCGCAAGATGGGAAAATTGGGCTGGACCTGCCGAGACGCAAGCCCGCACGCCAGTGGAGGAGGCCAACCTACACTTAACAGCGATAATTTGCTGTCACCCTAGACGGACACCTCCTAAGCAACTGCCCTACAACAGTCGCATTTTCACGTCTCTGCTGTCTCTTCCCCCTACAACGACGACCACCACCAGAGAAGAGACACTGAGCGTACGTACGTACGTACGTTGCAGGCTGCCCCCTTCCCCCCCCCCCACCAGCACTGACGTGAATGATACATCGTATTGCACAAACAAACACACAAACACAGCTAACACAACGTACAGAGCAATTCAATAATATGGCAAATTTTGCAAAAACTGAAAAAAAAACAAAAAAGAAACTTCGCTGCCGTTCTGACGGACAGACAAGACAACCCGTTTCATGTACCAAAAGACAAAGACAAAGACAAGCAAGCAAGCAAGCGTTGGAACTATTGGCATCACCACTGTATAACTATAACTATAGCTATAACTATAACACTGACATATACTAACTACAACACAATAGTTTCTGATACCAAGCGTTTAAGCACTCAGTGGTTTCGTGCAAGTGAAAAGATTCTGTTTTCGGTGTCTTAACCTTGGCCTTGTGTGGTTCACCCTCTCTGTAACGACAACGACAATACGCCCTCTACCTAACTCTCCCCTGCTCCATTGCGCTGCTGACGTGTGTTTCTCTCTCACTAACGCTAACTCTACTCTACTCTGCTCGTCGTGTTGTCCCATCCCATCCTATCCCACCAAAGACGGGACCAGACCAGACCAGACTGTTATCAAACTGAAGAATATTCATATCAAGCTAAATTGAAAAAAAAAATAAAATAAAAAATTTTCTTTTCCTTCCAAACTAAGCGAACTAAGCTGAAAGCTCTCTCTGTAACTGTAGCTGTAACCAACTTTTGCATCGATGCCGAAGCAAACAGAACAAGGGAATAGAGACACTAACTGGATATACCTCTCTCTCTCTCAACTTCAACAAGAACAAGAACAAGAACAAGAACAAGAACAAGAACAAGAACAAGAACTTCAACATGCCAAAGGGAAGGGAAGTACAGGTAGGTGAACAATAAAAAAAATTTTATCAAGAGGACAAGAAGAGAGAGGAAGGAAAGGAAAAAAAAATTTTTTTTTCTTTGACGATTGCAATTGTAAAAATTGACAATTATTTGAAATTTCTCTTTGTATATAAGGTTTACCAATTACTCTGTCGTTCCATTGGCCTTTGCAAAAGTTTCCCCTTCGTAGACTTATTTTTTTTTTCATTAATTGTATTATATTATAAAACTCTTCTCTTTTTACCCATTAAAAATTCTTCTAATCAATACTCTCTTTTACCCTTTGGTACTCTTCTTCTCTTCTCATTCTTTCCATTTCTTGCTAATTGTTTTTTCCTCACTTATCTTTTAATCTCAGAACACCAATACACAATCCAATAATATAATACTCTACAATGGCTGAAGAAGAACACACTTTTGAAACCGTCGATGCTGGTTCCTCCTTGACTTACCCAATGCAATGTTCTGCTTTGAGAAAGAACGGTTTCGTCGTCATCAAAGGTAGACCATGTAAGATTATCGATATGTCCACCTCCAAGACTGGTAAGCACGGTCACGCTAAAGTCCATTTGGTCGCCACCGATATCTTCACCGGTAAGAAGATGGAAGATTTATCCCCATCTACTCACAACATGGAAGTCCCATTTGTTAAGAGAACTGAATACCAATTGTTGGATATCGATGATGGTTTCTTGTCCTTGATGACCATGGACGGTGAAACCAAGGATGATGTCAAGGCTCCAGAAGGTGAATTAGGTGACACCATGCAAGCTTCCTTCGACGAAGGTAAGGATTTGATGGTCACTGTCATCACCGCCATGGAAGAAGAAGCTGCCATTTCTTTCAAGGAATCTGCTAGATCCGATTAAGATTGAAATTATAACTCAATAGAGTATAAGATGAAACGCAATCGGCTTGAAATGAACAATTGAATTGCGTATGCGTTCGACACTGCTTTTTTTTCAGCTGCTTTGGGTCTCGTTTTTTTTATTTTATTACTTTACTTTACCCCTTCAAATTTTTTGCAAAGTGTTTTGAGTTTTTTTCTCTTAATTGTATGTACTCTTTACTTCCTTTACAATCACATATTCTATTGCATTCCGTACAATATTTAGAATTCCCACCTTGCATACGATTTAGTATGCAGTTATTTAAATTAAATAGTACTGATTTAATAATATATCGATATATTTATTGAAATTTAAATTTAAAACGTATTTACTTAAAAGACAAGATTAGTTACTTTTTAGAATCGTCGTAACTGACACATTCCTGGTTACAGGGGGAGGGGATCGTATACCTGATTAAAAAATTAAAAATAGTTGAATATAATTAAACTATTTTTTTGATCTTATCCAAGATCTAGAAAGAACCTTCACACCATTCAACCTTAATTTCTATTTTTGTGCTCGTTGATCTCTAAATATAGTCGTCTCATTTTTTAAAAAACAGCACAATAGTTTAATGGCAACTTGGCCGAGTGGTTAAGGCGAAAGATTAGAAATCTTTTGGGCTCTGCCCGCGCAGGTTCGAGTCCTGCAGTTGTCGAATTTTCTTTTTTTTCTTACTTTCAGCTACTACTCCTTTTTATACTTTTTTTGAGTTTGAATTTCCCCTATAAGCAAACTCATATCCCACGAAATACACACTTCTCCCGCTCTTTATCTCTCACGTAAATAATTATCCACCTTCCACTGAGACCAAAACTGCACCTCTTTCACCTGTTGCTCTGCCCAATTCCCTAATTAGGATATACACTTCTCCCATCTTCAACCGGTCCTCAGTGGCATCTCTCTCTCTCTCGCTGTGTCTCGTATGGTCCAAAGCAAAGAGAAAGAGAGAGAGAAAGAAAAGAAAAAAAGTTTTCCTGTCGTCTTTCCCATACAAAAAAAAAAGTCTGCACAAGACGAACCAACGTTTGCAACATTTTTCAATCATCATCAAGCAAGACCTTTCTCTCTCACTCTAGCTCTCCCTCTCTTTCAAGAACAAACTAAATAACATCCATCATACCCGAACCTGTTTTTGTTCAACTCTTCCAACTGCAAACATCAAAGAAATAGCAAAATCATTAGTAATTAGATATCACACAACTCAGAGCTTACTTACCACTCGACTCTGTTTGTCTGCTAGAATCATCCAATCAATCAATCACTCACTCGATCAATCAAAACCAATTAATCAACCAATCCAGTGGGATATTGTTTCGCTTTAACCTTACACAGTACAGTTACCAAGAATGGAATGGGTAAAATCACCAATTTTCAATAATCTTCTCTCTAATCCATCTTTATCTGTAAATTTGTCTTGTCTTACTCTTCCTTTCCTGCTATAAACTATAAACTCCAGGGTGCAATAACTCTAGTTTCCGTCTGACATCTCATATTCAATCCATATCATTACTATTACAAGATTATATATACTTATGTATATATACATATATTCAGGCAGACAAGTTTATGATCAAGGATTTTAACAGTATCGAAGCTTATATATATATATATACACACACGTATAGAACAGTTAGAGGAACAAACGCATACACCACATCACAGATACCAAATATAATAGGATGTTTAAATCGTTAGCAAGAAGTTCAATAATAAAATCATCGTCACCTTTAGTTGCTATATCGAAAAGACTATATCACCCAAACGTTATCGAGCATTATACCAATCCAAGAAATGTAGGATCCCTAGATAAAAGTCAATCAAATGTAGGAACAGGTCTTGTAGGTGCACCAGCTTGTGGTGATGTGATGAAACTGCAAATACAAGTCAATGATAATACTGGAATTATAGAAAATGTTAAATTCAAGACATTTGGATGTGGTTCAGCTATTGCTTCTTCATCTTACGTTACAGAGTTAGTAAGAGGTAAGACTCTAGAGGATGCTGCAAAGATTAAAAACACAGAAATTGCAAAAGAGTTAAGTTTGCCTCCTGTCAAACTGCATTGTTCGATGTTAGCTGAAGATGCGATCAAAGCAGCAATAAGAGATTATCAATCCAAGAGGAAGGCTACTGTGCTTAAATGAATAGAACAAGAGAATAAATATATTGCAACAACAACAAAAAAAATATTTAGAGATTTTATCAGCACCATGCATGACTCAAGCAAAGAAAGGACGGATATATTATTACATAGCATTTTTCCCAGAAGAACAGATCGATTTACTACAGTTTAAAACATATATAGTATTGCATCAGTCATCTACTTATATCCCCCCATTCCTTTTAGTTTTCCATGATGATTATTTTATTTTATTTTATTACTGAGAGCAACTACAAAACCAAAAATGAAAGAAAAAAAAAACGAAATCATAGCATTAACGTGCCCCATTATTAGCACAATTTTAGATTTAAATATATATAATATACAGGTATTAATCATCCTGTTACTGGGTATTTTAAATTCATTTCCATCTTAAACTAATTACTATTAAAACCATTATTCTAATGTATAGTTGTAGACATTATGATATATCTATGTAGAGAGATGTCTTCTCTTATTAGTTATATCATTGTGTACGTGTCCTGGACCATATATTTTACATTTTTCGTATTCACAGACTCAGCACACACCACAAGAGAATTGAAAAAGTGAAAAATTATTGGAAAATATCAACATCATCACTTGAATAAGAATAGTTAAAAGTTATTTAATTGTGGAGTGGATTCGGGTATTATCCATCACTTCATTCGGTTATAGATCTCCAAGAGCTGTTTAATCATGTCCAACACTTTATTTGACGATATCTTTAGCGTTTCCGATGTCGACCCAGGTCGTTACAACAAAGTTTCCAGGATTGAAGCTTCTTCAACCACTCAAGAGCAATGTAAATTGACTTTGGATATCAACACAGATCTATTCCCGGTTTCTGTTCAAGACCAAATCACTGTCGCCGTTGTCACTTCTCTGTCTGTCGATGGTAATGGTGAAAATGATAATTCAGCTGGTAGATCATGGAGACCACCACAACCAAATGAAAGATCATTAGCTGATGATTACGATTATGTTATGTATGGTACTGCTTACAAGTTTGAAGAAGTTTCAAAGGATTTGATCGCAATTTACTACTCCTTCGGTGGTTTATTGATGAGATTGGAAGGTAATTATAGAAATTTGAACAATTTGAAACAAGAAAATGCATACTTATTAATCCGTCGTTAAGAAGAGAACTTTCAACTGGAGAAGATGGCTACCCCTTCTTCTGCTTAACAAAACTAAACAAATCAAAATTTAAAAATAATTTCATCGATCGTCAATTATTCATTTCACTTTTACATCATTTCATAGTGGACATCATCTGTATACATAAAATAATCATATCTCCTTTCTATATATATAAAATACTAATTTAAAATATAAGTATATATGTGTGTACGTGTATTTAAAAATAGAAATTAGAAGAATAAGTACCATAAATCTATTTATTTATTCATCTCGACCATTAACATAATGGCCCGAGTTAGTTTTATCATTATATTAGTATACCTATGTAAATACCTGAATGCATTAGTTAGAAACTTTTCATGAGACTGAAAATTATATTGACCATAATACCTGCAATTAGAGACATTTTCTGCCTGCGATTAAACAATCCTTCAATCTTTATTAATAAAAACCCAAATATACCAAAGCAAAATCCGATACACATCCCTATCAGCAAATCTTTATTATGCTTGAAGTTAGCAATTGGCACTGCATTGAAATTGTCATTATCAGTAATAGGATTCCCAGTCTCAGTGTTAACGCCAGTCTCCATCCACTGTTCTTCTAGTTGTCTGATATCATTAGTGCTGTTCTGTGTCTCATTCCCATCCTCGTTATCCTCATTATCCTGTTGTAAATTCCCATAGGTTCTCCTAAACTGTTCCCTAAATAACTCAATCTCTTCATCTGAGAACCCAACCGCTCGTAGCCTGTCGAAACCTATGGCTTGAGTAGTAGTAGAATCAGAAGAAGGACCCATGTCATCTAATGCATCTTCATTGTTCAATTGTTCTAAACTCAACACTTCACTACCAACCATGCAATGAACATAAAACTTGTCCCCATTTGACTCATTACCAAAGTATCTAATAATATCGTTACCTAAATCGCTGTGCATATTTAGAATACCACCATTACGTATAAATCTCAATCGCCTGCGATCTGTCTCTCTTGATCTCAAACTCCTACACATCTTCCGCAACCATCTTGTATCAATGGTACTCTCGCTGACACCCGTTATATTTAACTCCAGATCATGAATGCTTTCATCTGAAAACCTCACCACAATAAACTTCTGCTCAATAGGTGCATTCGTAGTAGGTAACAAAGGCTCACTTGACATATTCAATATCTAAAACTTTCTTGAAATCTACCGCAAAAAATTAGCTGGAAAAAAGGAAAATACTAATATAATTCACACAAAATCAATATATTCTACCCAAATCTCCTTCTATGCCTCTAGTCCCATCGATAAAATTAGAATACTTGAATAAAATGAACTACCTTTAACCTATATTACTATCACCATTTTTAAACCCTTTTAGAGCTTTTCCAATATTTTCACGAGTTCCGGGTAACACCTATTTTAAAAAAAGTATATAAGCAGAGCCAATTGAGAAAATTTTTAAAAGTTGTTCTTATCACTTGTTTTATTGGTGTTCTTTTGTTTGGTTACTTTTAGCTTTATTTTGGTTTCAGATCTCCAATAAAATATAATTAATCGTGCGGATTAATAATCCAGGACTCTAAAACCGTGTTGTTTAAATTGATCATGCGTTGATTTAAGCGTCAAGTCCATCGGAGAGATCATCATGTTCATCTTAATGCCCTTTTGTATGAGCCACTTTTGCTGCATTATAGGTACCTTTGGGTATTTATGGTGTGGTATATAGCTTTTGCAAGGGCTGGTAGGACAGACATTCCATATATTTTTTTTGTAATTCTATTTTATCTTTTTTGTCTTATTTTGGTCTTGTTAGGTTCAATGAATACTAATTGGATCTGTGTAGCAATTGAATTGTCCTTGTCATTACATAGTTTGTACAAAAATTACAAACGGATTATACGTTTTACATATACACATGTGTCATTGGAGGTGCTGTGAGTTCAAGTTATAGGAATAAAGTTACCCACAATACAAATTGGTATGTTGTATTTATCTCTTCTAATGGTGAAGCTGAAACAGCAAGGTCGTTTCCTCCTTCCATCGAATGTACGAAGATTACAACTTGTTAGTACTGCTTTCTGACCTTTGTCAAACGCTATGGACCCGTATTTCTCCCAAAAGTTAACAGCGCTTTCCTCTGTCATTAGTTCATATATCGCTAATTTTCCATCTCTTAGATCATCAACAGTGCAATCTACCAATGAAGCAAACTCTTTGTTGGCTCTAAATATTTCACCGGTTCTCCTCCACAGACATGCAGGAATACTCATGGAAGTAAACACTCTGTCATATGATAATAGCATCCTTTCAAAACTTTCTTCGACCAGAACTAAATCGACATCTTTCAACGATTTAGCAATAGCCCTAAAAGCAGGCCTTATGGTAGATAGGGGTTTAAGGATACGTTCTTTGGACGATTGGTTCATGTACATATCCATGTATTTGTGTAATTTATCGTAACCTTTGGCATAATCATAAGGTCGAAGTAAACCAGCTTCTAATTTTGTATTGATCACTAACTTCAATCGTTCCTCTATTGATATATCTGTCGAAGGGTCGGCTGCAGTTAAAAAGAAGTGTTCCTTTGGAGTGGTTGCACCATCTCTATGTACTAAACCAGGTGGTTTTTCTCCAAATGGAGGCTCGCCATTATTTGTTTGATCGGTATTAGCGACAGCATTTGCAGCCATAGATTGGTCTATACTTTGAGAAATTATCTGAGGTTGACCAGCACTTTCCTGATTGACATTAGAAGCATCTAGAAATAGTGGATCTTGCAAAAGGCTCAAGAACTCATTTAAAGAACTAAACTCTGACCCAGCATTGTGAGATGCAAAGGCCGGTTCCTGAGCTATAAAACTACTCCCCTTGTTATAATTATACTGAGCGTCCTGAACGCTTAAAGCCTTGTCGATAATATTCTGGTTATTGTTATTGTTGTTATTGGAATTCAAATTTGCATTAAACTCAGAAATATGCATCATTGTTGGTTCTGAAATACCAGCTGAAATAACAGAACTCCGTAAATTCAGATTCTCCGCCACACTAGCACTGTTACCACGCTCCTCATAGTTGCAAAGATGGGAGATATCTCTCTTGATGCACCGTTCACAAGGCCTCTGTCCATTACAAACCAAATGTGATCTACGACAGAACACACAAGCCTTATAAGACTTTCGACGTTCTTTACCACTTTCTACCATTCAAATCCTAAACCTCTAAAATTCGCAACTACTAACCTGAAATAAAAATTAACAAATAACAACAGCTCTTTCATTCAATAACAACCTCAACCGTCGTATTGTTGAACTCTCCTTACGAGTATAATCCCACTAATCTGAAACTTATCAACTATTTGCTCATCTCTTCTCTTTTGATATATCAAATGATCCATATTTAATCTTATAAGGCTTTTACCAACATTGAAAAAATATTCAACTTTAAGCTATAAAACAATTGGTTGATGGTAAAAGAGAATTATTAATTGTTAAACTGAGATAAGTTGGTAGATCCGTGAGGACGTTGGATTGGTTATATTCTGGTTATTGGGTATATTTGATTTTATGATGATTAATTCTCAATTTGTCATGAACAGGTCGCTATCCATTTTGGGGGTATTGAACAGATCAATGGCAATTCCAAAACGTATGGTTAACTTACAAAGAAGTGTTGCTGTTTCTAATGGGTTCAGATTTAGTAGAGGGTATGCTAGTGATATTCCTAAGGGTAAGATTGATCTTTCCAAGTTGAGTAGAGAAGATATTAGAAAATTACGTGATTTTAAGATGGCTGAAGAAAGAAAATTTAAGGATAGAACAGTTGCTTATTACTTTACCAGTGTTGCTGTTATCTTTCTAGGGTTAGCATATGCATCAGTACCGTTGTATAGAGCTATTTGTGCTCGTACAGGTTGGGGTGGTATTCCGATTACTGATAGACGTAAATTTACCGATGATAAAATGGTTCCTGTTGATACAAATAAAAGAATTAGAATTGCATTTACAAGTGAAGTTTCTCAAATTTTACCATGGAAATTTTATCCCCAACAACGTGAAGTATACGTTTTACCAGGTGAAACTGCTTTAGCATTTTATAAGGCTAAGAATAACAGCGACAAAGATATTATTGGTATGGCTACATATAGTATATCACCTGGTGAAGCATCTCCTTATTTCAATAAGATTCAATGTTTTTGCTTTGAAGAGCAAAAATTAGGTGCAGGTGAAGAGGTCGATATGCCAGTCTTCTTCTTCATTGATCCGGATTTTGCCACAGATCCTGCCATGAGAAATGTCGATGATATCATTTTACATTATACATTCTTCAAAGCACATTATTCAGATGGACGTGCCGCTAGTGCAGACGCCAAAAATTTGCAAGACGATGAAATGGGGAACGTTAAATTACTTACACCAGAAGTTGTGGATACAACAAATTAAAATTCTAGTAAATATAGTTACGATAGAGAGATTGATTTAAAACAAATTAACAATAATGCATTCCTTGTACATATTCTTAACAATGTAGATTTGTAAACTAAGTATTTTAATTATAAAAAATGTCAATAAAATATGATCCTTTCAATTACATTCAATAAACTATTGTCTCTTAATTGCCGTTCAAACTCTTTGTTGCCTGTAGTGATAACCTTCCAATTAATTTTAGTCCTTGACAACAAGTAAGCCTTCTCAACTGGTAAAATCGTGAACCCTTATAGATGGACTTTTTGGAACTTGGTTGTTATCACTTTCTACAGATAAGCTTCTTGTAGTGCTAATCTCAGAAACCGATTTACTACAAGGCAATGGTTCCCTATACATGTATGGCTTTGAATCAGTTTCATCTGAAATCTTTAATAATGTAGGGGAATCCAATCCACTATCCGGAGATAAAGCAGAACTCCCCAGGGAGAGTGAACTACTCTCAATACCTGTATGTAGAGGATTGGTATCTAGAGAAAGAATTGGCTGTAATTCTTTATCAGAATCTAACCCGACACCGTCGTTAGCATTGCTTGAAGATTTCGAACGTGGTTTTAACAAGTTTTCTGTAATAAATAACTTCATTGGACTATTCTTGATATTCTCATGTTCTTTCAAATAATTATAAATATCTAGAGTTGTTTTTTCATCATCCAGAATTATTACAATTCTATTCAAAAACGCTAAGGGAGTATAATATTGAACTTTTGGTTTCAAATGTGGGAATTTCTCTTCGAACAGAATTTTCTCCAAATTCTGAGGCCATGACGAACTAAACCTTTCCTTTGGAACGTCGGTAATTAATATTTGAGTCTTATTAGCCATTTTACCCTATCTCAGTACCTTGGTGTGTTTTTTTAACACTTTTTACCCTAATGCTTTTATAACTATAGTCCCTTAAATGAACTATTTTAATTTTCTTGCCTTAAAATATCAAATAAGGAAATAATCTAATTTCCAAACAACCTTCCGATTCCAATACCTAGAATATCAACACAGTAAATTAGTCAAATATTCACTTGTAATCGTATAAATAACTTAAAGAATATTAAAATCATTGAACCAAAAATGTGATCCCTTTTGTAGTTGGTTTCTAAACTTTAGGCTGCTTTTAACCTTTAAATTCAAAAGGCGTGCGTATATCACACCGAATCAGAAAAGGTCCATTATGTATTGATTGATTGATTGATTGATTGATTGATGATTGGTATAAAGACAATTTAACAATGGAAAGTTGGATATGTTGTGTTGGACAACACTTAAATGTGTAGATATGTATGTAAATATATGTATTTAAATATATATATATATAGAAAGAGAGAGAAAGTGTGTGTTTGTGTGAGAAAATTGTCAAAACTTCTAATCCTCGTCACTGTCAAGCTTTCTCTTCTTTCTGGTCGATTCTTTAGCAGCTGGTTTTGCCTTAGGTTTTGGTTTTGCCTTGGGTTTTGCCTTTGATTTGACTTTGGCTTTGATTAGTTTGTCCTTCTTTAGATCAGTGTCATTCGATGTATCTTCGTCCTCTCCTGGTGGCACTGTGTCATCTGCATCAACGATATCTTCGAAATCTGGGGTAGCTGCAACGACACTGGAGCCTGTGCTAACACCAGGTCTGTATATAGCTACAGGATGTGTTGTACTATTATATTTTCTGGTGAATGCACTTTTCACTGAGGTTGGAATCTTCTTGATTAAAGTGTCTGTTGTATCTGTGCCGATTAGGAAACTCATTATGGTATCCCAGTCTTCCTTCGTTAGATAATAGTTATCCATGAATTCGATGATATCAGGGATTGCTTCAGCACCTTCGTTTACAAGTGGATTTAGTAATCTACGCTTGAATGTTGACATATACTCTAATCTCAATCCAAACTTGTCTGTGGATGTGCTTAAGGTGGTATGATATTGCAATTCTTGAAGTAATCTGAAGAATTTCCCTCTCTTTGAATTTTGACCTAGCCATGATGTGAAGTTTACTCTACCAGACATTTGACCAGCAACTTTCGATGAGGGAAGCACTGAGGATAACACTGCATGTAACGGTAATAAGCTCCATAGTTGCTCACTACTACGAATCTTTCTTTCTACCAAGTCACCTAGTGAAATGCTATCGGCGGCGGCTGCAACAGCATCTAGATGGGTTTCGTCATTTTTTAGTGTAGCAGGTCTCGAGTGTATATAATTTTCTTGTATCATTAATGGTGTGAAATCAAAATCGTCAAAATATAATGCAATCTTGTCGTTAAGTGTAAAATTGTTAGATCCTAAGTCCGAATATATTTGACCACTTAATAATCTAAGTGTGATGTCAAATGGCTTTAATGCAACATTCTTCTCCCATGCTTGAGAGATTTCATTGATGTTTTCATGGTTTATGTGTTTTGTGGTTTTGGAAATAGTAGATAAAAGGTTGATAATCTGTCTCATATCGCCCCTGGTAGATTGTACTAATTTATCAATAATATTAGGATCTAACTTGAATTTTTCCCTAATGGCAATAGTCATTAATCTCGATTTGATACTGTTAGCATCGGGTCTTCTAAATTGGACGTCTAAACACACTCTATCAAAAGGTCTCATTTTAGGCTGATTACGTTCATTACAGATTAAAATCATTGGTGTAGATGTCTTACGACAAAACTGAGCCAGTTGCCCTACACCACCTCTATCACCACCACTCATACCATCTACTTCATCCATAATGATTACAAATTTTTTGCCGTGGGCTTCTGATGGCTCCTCCTTATGCTTAAAATAACCGACAATAGACATATTGTCTAGTGCATTTTTCACACCAAGATTTAATAGGGACTTGGAACGAACATCGGATGCATTCTGTTCTAAAATATCATAACCTAATTCCTTAGCTATCAAATGAGCTGCGGTGGTTTTACCTATACCAGGTGGACCATATAACATGGCTGCTCTATATATACCTGAACCATCTCTTCCTGGAGATTTGAAACCATTGCTCTTAGCGTGGTCCCAATTAGATAGCCAAGTCTTCAATTTGTTTATAGTACCTTTATTACCGCAAATTTGACTAGAATTTGTTGGTGCGTATTTGACAGTCCAAAGCTTATCTTGTTCTCTAACTAAATCATCCTTCATGACATTTTCTCCAGACATTTGTGCATTTTTGATTTTCTCTTGTCTCTTTGCTTCTTCTTTAATCATTACTTCAGCTTCTTTCTTTGCCTGTTGTTCTTGTTCTTTTAATTTTTGTCTACTCTTTTCAGCGGCTTCACCTTCACCACCCTCAGCAGGCATACCTGCAATTAACTGTTTGAACCCATCTTCATTGATTGCCTTCACGCCTAACTGTTTGATTTTTTCCACTTTCTTTGGACCTGCTTCTTCACCAAGAACTACTACAGAAGTCTTTCTAGAAATAGATGAGGTCACTCTAGCACCATATCTCTTTGCTAAAGTTTCAGCGTTACCCCTTTCTAAAGTTGGCAGAACACCGGTAAACACAATTGTTAAACCTAATAAACAGTTTGGTCTACCTTCAGGAATATCTCCAGCAATATCATCCATATCAACATCACTAGATTTATTAGCTGCAGCTGCTCTAAAATCAAACTTGGCATTTTCCTTCACACTTACTGCCGACAAATCTAAAGATGGAATGGTATCAAGAACCTCCTGAGCTGTGGCACCTTTTGGAATCCCTGAAGTGACAACAGACTCTTTCTTCATTGGAGTACCAACCTTCACCTCAGGTTTTACACTAACATTCCTTGATTTTGAAGCCTCTGTTCTTTTCCCTCCTTTGGAATGGTCTAGTTCCAAGAGATCATCATCATCATCACCAATATCAATTACTTCAGGAGCAACAACTGGCTTTGGACTATCGACATCAACTTTCTGTTTTTTTCTACCCTTGACAGGCTTTGATGAATCTTTAGTGAAAAATTGAGTTATATCAGTCATCTTAAACTCTAACCAAATGGGATGGAAAGCACAATGTAATCGAATTAATCAAATAAAACACTTCCAAACCCACACAGTCAACTATTCCCAATCTCTTTTACACCACTCTTAACCAACAATTCAACTCTATTCAAAGTATCAATTTCGATGTCTTTCTTTTATCATAGAGCCTTTTGATATAATTTTTCACCTTTTAATGTGTTATAATGCCTGATGGGATCGATGATAAAAAAATGAAAAAAATGTATATAAAGATTGAACTGAACTAGTTATGAAAAGGTTTAGTTTAGTTTAGTTATGGTTTATAAGTTTGGAATTGGTCAAGGATTGGGTGGCAGTATATTGTGAGGGAGTCTTCCAATTGATTGGTTATTTGATTTGTTTTTAAACTGCATTTTGGTTGGGCATATTTTTGTTCTTTTTCTCTGGTAGAAATTTTTAGTGAACAGGGACACGTTATACTGTCAAATAAAGTTTTAATTGTAGATTAACAAGGTTAGAAGAAGAGGTATACTTTTTGTAATTAATATGGGTAAGAATAAGAAGAAGGGATCTAAGAAGACAGGAGGTGCTGCTGTTGAGGCTGAGGTACCTGCGGAGGTCGAGACCGCTTCTGAAGAGAATAATACAGTTGATGGATCTTTGCAAGACCCTAAAGCTTCTGATCCTGTGGTGGAAAGTGGACTTGATGAAGGTGCTGTGGTTGAGGAGGAGCTTGGTATTGATTCAGCTAAGGATTTGAAGATAAAGGAGCTACAAGAGATGATTGAAAATTTGAAAGTAAAGTTAGAGGATAATTCTACAAATGGTTCGAGCAATGGAAACGATGGAGATTCAAGTTCAGAATTGGAAAGTCTAAGAAACGAAAGAGATCATTTCGAAAAGCAGTACAATTCTTTGTTGGAGAGAATTTCGTCCATGAAGTCTCTGTTTAGTAAAATGAAAGAAAATCAAAAAGAATTAGAATCTACTCAAGAACAATTAAATGAATACGAATCACAAAACTTAAAGTTAAAGACAAAAGTGGATTCTTTGAATAAAGAAAAAGTTGAATTGGAGTCTACAATCGTTACATTAAATCAAGAATATTCAAGTTTGGAAAAAGAATTGGAAGAGTATGAACGAAACGCACAAAATTCAAGTTCAAATCACAGTCGTGAATTACAATTGTTGAAAAATGAAAAGAACAAATTGAATACACAATTACAAGACCTGTCGGCCATCTTAGAGAACAACAAGGAAGACATTCGTAATTTGAAATTGGAAAATACTGATTTAAAACAAACTCTTGATACAGTACAAAGAGACAAATCTGAATTAGAAAAGAACTTTGGAAGTTTAGAGAGTGAATTAAATAAGTTAGAAGCTAAAAATGAAGATGATCTGCGTACAAAGACAATGGAAATCAATTCTTTGAGGACACAGTTAGATTCTTCAAATGATACAACAAAGGAATATTTGAAATCTATTGAAGATCTGAAAAACGAGATCCTATCGATGAAGGACTCGCTTAAATCTAAGGATGAGTTGGAATTAAAGCATAAAGAACAAATTGCACAAATTGGTAAATTACGACACGAAAATGTAGTTGTTAATGAACATTTAACCAAAGCGATGGCAATGATTAAACAATCAAGCGATTCTGAAACTGTTGATAAAGAATTGATTTCAAATTTACTTATTTCCTTCGTCACATTACCTAGAGCTGATACAAGGAAATTCGAAGTGTTAGAATTAATTTCAAGTACATTGTCCTGGGATGATGATAAAAAACAACAAGCGGGTTTAATCCATGTAATGAACATGGATGCTGCTCAACAACCAAAAAAGGCATCAAGAACTAGAGCATTCATTTCTAAATGGACAGATTATTTAGAAAAAGAAAGTGAAGCAGATACATAAGGAGCAAGGTAATTGTTCTAGTCATTTGTGTTATCCTGTTAGTTTGTTGGTTTGGTTTGGTTTTGTTTTTTCACTCATTCACGTTCAATTATAGATCATCCTCTAATGAACTTTTACGTAACATAAATATATTATACAAATTTTTACAAAAGTAAATAGAAGGTTAAAACCCCAACCATTCAAAAATAAAGCTGTAATCTGAGTAATAGTTTCAAGCAATTTTAGATGAACTCTGCTTGGTTAAAAGATTTTATCGTTATATAGAGTCAAAGTCAAAAGTGCCTCTGTTAATAGCTAACCCTCAGCATATTAAAAAAAAAGTATCAACTTTATAAATGAAACATCATTCACAGCTGACAATTGTTTGATTAAAGACTGGATAACGAAGGCATATTGTTCTTAAGGGTATATCAGAGGTTCAAGATGAATTTTATGTTAAGAAGAAACGGTGGTCAATTCCAAAAGTTTGGATTTTTTATTAGATGTAATAGCACTGAAAGTTTTTATTCAAAAGCTATCCTTGGATTAAAGAAAGATTTGAAACAAGCAATGTTAGCAAAGGATGATTTAAAGAAAACTACTATTAGAAACATGTTATCTACTATAAAGAATAAGGAGATCGATGCTAAGGACACCAAGTTTGATGAGTTTACTCTTTTTGGAATCTATTCCAAATTAATAAATCAAAGAAAGGACTCGATCTCAGATTATCTAAAGAATAATAGAGAAGATCTTGCTGGAAAGGAAGAACAAGAATTGAAATTGATTCAAACTTATCTTGATTCTCTCCCAATAGCATCACCTCAAGAAATTGATACTAAAGTAGAAAAATTTTTGAATGACCTAAAGGAAAAAGAAGGAACCGTTCCAATGAAGGATGTATTCTCAAAAGTCGATTGGAATACTTTAACCAAAGAATGGAAAGCTTCTCAGAGTATGATCAAAAGTAGTATTGTGTCTAAATATAAAAATATCTTTTAAAGGACTAATATGTGATGTTTCTTAAAAAGATTAGTAATACTCTAACTCTATCAATAGTTGGTCTTGGTACCTGGTGAACTTTTTGAAGAACTTCCAATTTTTGATCCAATAACATAAATAAAAACAATACCGATAATAATCAATGTAAATAATTTGTAAATAGTTCTAACATTTTAAAGTCTTTAAGATTAACCGATTTTATATAAAGTTATTGTGTCAAAGAACATTTCAATTCATTAAGAGTTACCTCTTGGCTATTAAGTGATGACGGTATTTAAAAATCATTGGTTACAACGATTGATGATAACCTCATCATCAGCAACAACAACAACAAGATGAAATAATATACCTCAGCTATGCTTTTTGTGTAAAAACCTTGGTTTAATAGCTTAGTTTGTGAACTTTAATTTATATTTAAAGGATTCGTTAGACTTGGTGATAGATCCATTTTTTATGTACCATTCAAGTTCATTTACTGACACTTCTTAAAATAATTATTGTATTGAAAGAATAAAAGGTCTCATAATTTGGTAAGCTACAAGGGATTTCAATACAGATCAGGTTATCTAATAGTACTGGTAATTGGTAAAAATGTTTAGACAGATTATAGATTCGACGATTTTGGGTTTATTTATTACAAAAGCCTATGCGTCAGATTATTTTGTTACTTTAAGTACAAATGATACTAATTTGGCTTTAGAAAGTGGTGCCTTAGATGCAAATTCTTTAGTGGTACACATTGATAAGACTTCGATGACACCTGAAATATTGGAACAGCTTGCTAGTGTTCCAAATATTGTCTTTGCTGATTTACCAGGGTTGCCACAATTTGTTAATCTAAAAGAATATGCTACTGGTGAAAGTGAAGTAGATAAATTAATTAGAGATATTATAAAGCAGGAACAAATAGATTTATCTAAGATTAAGGAAGATGAAAGATATTTGGAAATTGAAAACATTGTTAGTGAAATCTTAGCCGATTCTGCAGAGAATTATTCTGATGAATTTGCTTATGTATATGGAAAATATAAAAATGATACAGATAATTGTGAAGATGAAAGGATAAGTTTTGCTGGGGAACACCTCTCAAAAGTTCCTGAAACCACTGTATCTAATTTAGATGTATCTACCACAACCGTCGCCGTAAAGTCAGTATCACCAGTTACTTCTGTTCCAAAAGTAGAACATATTACTGGATCAAAATCAGAAGAAATTGTTCCAGTAACTAATAATGACTTATCTCAAGTTGCAACTTCAGTCTCCTCTTTAGGTGTTATTTCTTCTTTGGAAACAGTATTAGGTGATGTCAGCACTAGTGAATTAAAACCTCTAACTGAAACTTCAAGCTTAAACGTATTGGAAACAGATTTAATCACCGCCACTTCATTACAGCCATTACAAACAACTGTTGTAAAGGAGGATGCTCCAGTAGCTACTTCTGTAATTTTAACTTCTGTCGTCAACGAAGAAGTGCCAAGTGTCACAACTTCGACAACAATCGTGCCAATTGAACAAGATATTAGTTCTATAAGTGAAATTGTAAAATCATTTGATAAATCACAAACATTAAAAGATGTAATTAGTACCAAAGTTTCAGAGCCAGTTGAAAAACATATCCCAACCCCAGAACTTCCAAAACCTATTAGAAATGGTACTTCTAATTGTACCGACGGTGGTTATGATGATGACAACTATAATGACGATGATGATGATGACTACGATGACAATGATAATAATGAAAAAGAAGGATGTGATGGTGGATATGATAATTCATCTAATTATTTTATGGTCCCAAGCACAATGTTCATTGGATTCTTGGTTACATTATTGTTATTCTTGCATCCTTAAATTTAAATTGATGGTATGGAAGCATAATTATGTAAATTGCAAGATATAGGTTATAACATATAGATATACAATTTAAATTGCCTCATATTTTACTATTTTTTGGGAACAAAGATTTGGATATTTATTTACTTTTAATCAATTTATTTTTGGAAAGTTTAGATATGTCTATTGTGGGTCTTATTTTCCAATTTAATATTATGACAGGTGAAGATCATTGTTAGATCAAATAAAAAGGGTAAGAAATTGTGATTCATATTTTCTTTATTTATATCGTGAATTTACAGTTTTGCTATATTATTGAATATATCTTGTTATGGCAATTCTATTGATTCCCATTCCCAATTGTAGGCAAAAATTATCAATCCATTTATATTATTTTTTAATTTTTTCTCCTGATTCTTCATGTTCAAAATCTTCCTTGTTTCCATTAAATTAATCACAATGGATTCAATATGTCATTTATTGTGTTCATGTTATTCATAAAATCACTTTTTGAGAGACAGTGATCCTATGGCGTCATGCTAACCAAATAATCACAACAAAAATAATGACAAAACTGTTGTTTGGTTTGATTTTGTAAGTTAGAGTTTTAATTTGATTATAATTTAATGGTTAATACTTATATAATAGTTTTATAAATTAATGTTTATTTCATTTTTCAAATTTTAAGTTTTGGTACAAATACATATTCCTAATCTAAATACATTTTGGCGATGTAAATATAAATATAAATATAATTATAGATAGATTTATTTTTAAGATCAATATTGTTTTTAATCAAAACAGTCAACTTTAGATAAATGAGTTCTCTAATGAGTTCTCTTAAATCTCCTGATACATTTCTTGTTGCAGATTAAATTTTACAGAGAAGCTAGAAAAGTCATATCAAGGTAACGTTGCCAATACTCTAGAATAGTTGAAGAGAAAATTTTATTGGAATATCATTTGGTTAGGCAACAAAAATTCCTGAAAGATGATAAGAACTAAATGGAGTCTTATATAATCCGTTGTACTATAGCTGAGATAGACTTGAATACCACAATTTTGCATTTTTTAAAATTCACATCCAATTCATTTGCGGATGCCAACTAGGTTTCATCAGTAACTTTCAATAGAAAGGCGGATTTGAAAATGAAAGAAGGCCTATTAATTTCGAGTGTTCAGATCTTAACATAAATGCCTTCATAAGTTGAAATGGGAAGTTTTTCTTTATTAGAGCGTCATCAGCAACACTACAAGTTCTTTCCAATTTTATTTATTTCAAATATAAGATATTTTGATTGATTTTGAAATTAAAATATAGGATGTGTTTTTGATCACCATTTCAATTTCTGATCTGCTACAGTTTATAATATTTTCTCTGTTACTGTCATTGCTATTATTTGCACGTAATTTTAATGTTTTGTTACGCTGGAAATATTGTAAATAGCCAAAAAAGAATACTTCCAAAGCATAGAAAAGGAACTGTTGAAATAGTTTTAAGTCGATCGTAAATGTATCTATGATCAAAATGACACGTCTTTTATATCGCTTATTATCGTGAATTGGCTGGCAAAGGCATTACAGCTCATGCCAAAAGTTATCATTGTTTACGTTTTCTATCCATAAAACGATATGATGTAATATAAAAAAAATGCATAGCCATATAAACTCCTAAGGTCATCTCATATAACATTTTCTTTCAAGCAAACCGTAAGATATAGTCATTAAAGAACTATATCTGATATTGATAGATGCTGACATAGTATCTAAAAAGTTAAATCAATCATTAATACGTTATCGTAGCTATTCATTTGGTATTTTTCAGAAATTTTCATAAAAAAATTGTTTCTTTGCTACCTATAGAAGTGATTTTATAGTTCATAAAAGTATTGATATAGTTAGAGGTTTTTAAAGAGTTCCATTTATTATATCTAAAGACTGGTTGCTTTTAATACTCTGGAAGTCTCTTTATTGTAAATTCGTTTAACAACAGTGGTATATACACTTATGGTTGACAAATTCATTATGAGGTTATTATCCTCGCTAATAGGTTTATCCCTCATAAGTAATGTATTGGGAGCAAGCTCTCAAACAAGTGCAAAAGGATCCAAAGGATATGAATTTCCCTCTGTAATAATGGGAAAAGATATATTCGGTATGTATTTTTTGAACGCCACATTAGGGAACCCTGAACAATTCCAGCGTTTAAGACTTGATATAGCACAACCCTACCTTTGGATTCCAAACATAGGAAGTAAATGTCCAGATTCATCGACCACATGTAATGAAAGAACAGTATACGATCCTTCTTCATCAAATACATCTATTCCTTACAGATCGGGACATGTTTTTGATTTTGAATTTATAGATGCATTATTTGCCAATGGTTCAGCTTACACTGACAGATTTAGCTTCCCAAATATTTTGGGGAGTACAGAATCCTATTCGTATGGGAATCACAGTGGTTTGGTAGAAGTAGATCATGGACATTTAAATATATCATCAATGTCATTTTTCAGTACATATAATTCAGGCGGTTTATCAATTGGATCATTAGGTCTAGGTGGGAATGTAGAAAGTAGAAATTCAGATTTAGACTCTGGACAATATGATGGCTCTTTTTTTTTGTTAGAGGAGTTGAAAGAAGCAGGCTTAATTGAAGGCCGTGGGTATTCGTTATGGCTTGGCGGTGACAACACCTCATTAGTTGAGCAAGAAGGTACAGTATATTCATCTGAGTCAATTGCTGGTAGATTAATTTTAGGTGCTGTCAACCCTAACTTAATTGACGGAAAATTTGTTAGCTTTAATATGTTGCCATACCAAAATCCTGATACCTTGGAGATGTCAAACGGGTATCCAATTCTTCCAATGGGTCCCATCAATATAATATCTAAATCTGGTGCATCCCTTAATATGACTTCGAACAATTATCTACAGCCGGTTCTTTTAGATAGCCGTTATACAAATTCAAGACTTCCAATTGAAGCTATTATTCAAATCGCAATCCAGATTGATGCTTCATATGTTGAACAATTAAATAGTTGGGTAGTTTCATGTTCAATTCTGAAAGAATCAGTTGTGTTGGAATTTAGCTTTGGGCCGTTGCGTATTAAAGTTCCATTGAAACAATTTTTAAAGAAGGCAATTGATCCAGATACCGGAAACGCTAGGACCCTTTCCAATGGTGATCAAGCATGTATTTTATCATTGTACCCAAATCATGACATAGGATACAATATATTAGGGGCCCCATTTATGAAGAGTATATATTTGGCGGTTGACAATGAAGGTGGTACGATAGCATTGGGCCAATCGTTGAGACGTTTCATTAGTGAAGCTGACAACATTGAGGAGAACACTAGTGGAGCAGATATCGAAAGCACAATTTCGGAAGGTACACTTTCAGAAAGCACAATTCCAGAAAGCACAACTACAGAAATGGCAATCACGTCAAGTATAACAAGCAACTCCTCAATGTTAGAAAGGAGGGTTACTGCTAATGCTACTGCTAATCACAATATCTATCTAGTATCATTATACTCGGAATCAGTGGGGTCAACAATCGAAACTGAATATCCTGTGATTGCGATTAGTTCAGCCTTCATACCGTATGCATCCACAGTAAATATGACCAGGACCAAGACGATGAAGTTATTACCGGATGTGCACCAGGCATCCAATTACAGTTATCCAGTTGAGTTTACAGCTACGTTGAATTCGAATGGGGTTATTTCCCAAGGCCATTCATTTTACAATACAGATAGGACATCGTCGACCACAAGGTCGTCGTCCTCACAATTTGCTAGTTTATCAGTAAGGGCACCTACAGCCACGAATGGCACGACTATGACGATGTCTGCAGCAGGGTATAGATTACAACCGATTTCATATACAGAGAACAAGATGGGAATCACTCAAAGGATGAGTATGCTCAGAAGTTGGGTGATGGTCACTATGCTAGCATTAGCGACTGGATTCCTATTATTTGTCTAGACGCCGACCAGCCCTTTGATCTCAATTGCATTCATCACTTTAAAATAAAAGCACGTACACATCTATATAACATAACCTATATACATTCCATTAAATTTAAAGTAAACTCATTCATTCGTTCATTACCACCAGCAAGAAATAGAAACGAAGACAATCGACAGATCTCGTAAAACAGCAAAAGCAAAAGCAAAAGCAAAAGCAAAAGCAAAAGCAAAAGCAAAAGCAAAACAGTTTTTCATTTCTTCAAAAAAAAACAACAACAACAAAACACAACCACCACAACTACTTGCAAAGTGTCAGCAGCCCCCAAGAACAAGAACAAATCATTCGAACAACGAAACCTTTATACATTTGGTGTCATTAGTATGTAATCCCTCTCGTTCAAGAACCATCCCTGTCCATGCAGCTGCAGTTGCAGTTTCAGATTCGATCTTGACGTTGTTGACTTTTGTCGTTTCATACAGTATGAGGATAAGGATAAGGATAAGACGTAACTGTCTGAGATACCCATCCATCACTACAAACGAGCAACGTACAACACATAACGCTTTTCGGCCTTCGCATCCGAACGTCTCTCTTTCTCTCCTTCCGGATCCGAACGACCATTGGGCTTGCCATCGCCGTCGGTACACACAAACACAAAGTAGACAGATCGAAATTTCCGAGCTTTTCGATTCGAAACGGGCAATTGGAGACGGCGAAACTTTTCTCGAAGTGATCGAAAAGTGAGCGAACTGTTCGAAATTTTATCAGTTTGTTAGCTTGTTTCGGCGGTTCTACGTCTCTCTCTCTGGGCAAAGACCAAAAAAGTTGAAGCAAAAGGCCAAAGGCCAAATCAGAAAAAACAAGAAAAAAGAAATAAAAAAAAAGTGAAAAAGAAATAACGTTGAACAAACACGTAGCTGGAATGTTAAAGAAAACTGACGAAACAAGAAGACATGAATTGAAATCAGAACCAAATGTGGAAGACGCATAACATAATGGAATGGAATCGTAGTGGCTAGCCATGATATGCATGATGTGACAATGAAAGAGATATTCGATTTCAAATCGAAATCGAAATCGAAATTTGGATGTGGATAGTGGATAGTGGATAGTGGATAGTGGATTTAGATATAGGTATTTGCTATAGGTATATCTATCTATTCACTATTATAAGTTAACACATTCTATCAAGTGTTATATTACAATAACTTATACTTTAAATTTCATGGCAACAAAATAGATTGCTTTCATTTTAGGTTTTCTTTCAATTCTAGTTTTTGATTTAGACCTGTTTCGTAGCATAAGTATCTGTTGTTCGTTGGATTTCTTTCTCTTTTGAAATTGGAGTTTGGGATTTAGATATTTAATAGTCTCAAGGGAAGAGAGTTTCTGTTTTTATTTCATATACACTTCAGACTTTGTCCTTTCATCTCTGATTTTCTTCGTTTTTGAAGGAATATCTATATATCTACACACACACACACACTGCCAGGACATTACCTGTAATTGTCTTTGAAGGATAAAGAAGAATAAAAAAACACCAATCAATTCATCAATCTATAATTACGGTAGATCCAATATGTCACAAGAAAACTTCGATTCAAATGACTCGACTGCTTCTCTTGACATGAATATGAGACAGCTTTCTATGAACAAAAAACATAGAAGACCAAATAGAGCCTTCCATAACCTTTCCTTTGGTAATATCCCAAGCAACCATATCCCATCTCCTCCTATCCCTCAGGAAACAAATTTTGAAGTTGATTCAGGTCAAAGAGTTTTCACTCCAAAACAATTCGATAGTCCTATTTCAACTCCAGCAACACCAACTCTAATCAATAACGATTGTGCTACTTTTGGTGGACCAAACAATACTTCAATTCATTCAGGTTCTCATATATTGGCCACTCAAAGATGGGAAGATCAACTTAACTATTTGTCAAAAACTTATGAAACTGCAAAAAATTCAATCCCTCCTTTACCAACCACCCAATTCTATTGCGTAGATCAAGGTTCCTGTGACCCAAGATTATTATCACTATCAATGTATAACATACCAAAAAATGAGCATATGAGATCAGCTACTAAATTGCCCTTAGGTCTAACTCTTCAACCTTTTGCAAAATTAACTCCAAATGAACCAATACCTGTTTGCGATTTAACCCAAGATGGTCCATTACGTTGTAACCGTTGTCGTGCTTATATCAACCCTGGCTTCCAATTCACTTACGATTCTTCGGTGGTTTGTAATATCTGTAAAGTTAAAAATAAACTACCACCAAACCATTTTGCTCCTTTGGGTCCTGATGGTCAAAGATCTGATATCACTACTAAACCAGAATTGTTCAAAGGTTGTGTAGATTTTGCAGTTCCTAAATTTTACAACGTTAATAAAGACGAAGATGCTTTACCATTGCACTACGTCTTTTTAATCGACGTCTCTTTATTGGCAAATGAAAACGGTAGCTCCTTATCTGCAATTGAAAGTGTTCGTGCTACTATCGAATATATCAGCGATTTCCAACCAAATTGTAAAGTAGCTATTATCAGTTATGATTCTAAATTAAAATTCTACAATTTAAGACCAGAACTAGTAACAGCTCAAGAATACGTTGTCACTGAAATTAATGATGTTTTCCTACCATTCTATCATGGTTTATTTGCTAGTCCAAGTGAATCAATGACGGTTATAGATGACACTTTAAGAAAAATTAGCGAATTCATCACATTAGATAAATATAGCCACGTACCACAAGTTTGTTACGGTTCTGCTTTGCAAGCTGGTAAACTTGCTTTAGATACTGTTACAAATGGCCAAGGTGGTAAAATCATCTGTACTTTGAACTCTTTGCCAACTGTAGGTAATGGTAACTTAACTTTAAGAAAAGATGATGCTTCTAAACACCATCTAAAATGTGATAACGATTTCTACATTAAATTTTCTCATGAAATGCTAAAGAGTTATGTTTCGTTAGATTTGTATGTCACAAGTGCTGCATTTGTTGATATGGTTACTATCGCATACCCAGTTCAAGTTACCTCTGGTAATTTGAAATATTATCCACATTTCCGTAGTGACCAA